GATATTAAGACTAGAATTCAGATGAAGTATAATGTTATAACAAAAAGTAGGCTTGATTGAATAGAATCTAGTGTTAAAGTATTTTCAATAAAGAAATTTTGGTGGGCCTAGTATGAAAGGGTGCTAAATTATATAGGCCTATATAAAAAAAGCATTATCATAATATTTTAAACTTAATGAGTTTATCTATTTAATTTTGTCCTCATACAAGTATGTAATGGACTGTGAGAAATACTGCAAATCTTTCATTTAATTAATTTTGTTTAATTACTTATTTATTATCTATCTATTTTTATTTTTTTTTTGGAGGGAGTTCTAGAGCAAGTCTTTCTTCTTATATCCCTGCCATAATTTTACCCATGGCCGTCATGTCGTGAAATCAAATTGATCCTCTTTTATTTCCTTTTTACTTTTAATTCACATGGGGCGGCGGCAGCATTCATATCTCAGACATTTTCTGTATTTTATTCTTGATGTATGAATTATCTGCCCTGAATATGAGGTAGCAGTGTGCTAGCTTAATTGAAAAATCAATATCCTGTTTTCATTTCAATATATCCTTTATATGAGTTTAATGTATTTGTTTTAGGTACGCCACTCCCAGAGGATGAATGAAGCGCCACTTCAACCATGGGTCATAGCCAATTCCGATGGAACAATTCTTGCTGCACACTGTACATGCATGGCTGGCTTGGGGGAAACCTGCACCCATGTTGGAGCATTGCTGTTCTGGATAGAGGCTGCAGTGAAGATCCGCAATTCTAAGACAGTGACACAGTCCCCTGCTTACTGGCTGCTTCCATCAGGGATACAAAAGGTTACATACGATGAAGTCAGAGATATCGATTTCACCTCAGCCTCTACAAAAAAGTGCAGACTAGACGAGAGTATCACAACTCCACCAACTCCAACAACTCCAACCCTGAGGGCAGCTCGTAGGAATGATGTACCAACCCCTTCCAAAGATGAAGTGAATGGCTTCCTGCGGAGGTTACATGAGAGCCAGTCAAAGTCTGTATTGTTGTCTCTGATGCCAGGCTATGCTGAACACTTCAAACCTGCCTCACTGAGTGTACATCTTCCCAAAGTGCTCTCAGAGTTGTACAATGAGGAGTATGTTGGAATGACTGAAGATGAACTTCACAACCAGTGTGACATCATCTTCGATGACATCATAGTAACAGCATCCCAGGCAGCAGCTGTGGAGGAGAGAACTCGCAGTCAGGCAAGCAGTAAAGATTGGTTTCGGTTCAGGAGTGGGAGAATCACTGCGTCCCGTCTTCATGCTGTTTGCCATACCAATCCAGAGAAGCCATCGCTAAGTGTCATCAAGTCAGTTTGCTATCCAGAAAGTTTAAAATTTAGAAGCAAGGCCACAGACTGGGGATGTCAACATGAAAAATCAGCCATTGATGCATACATCAAGAAAACAACAGCAGACCATCAAGACATGCATCACAGCAAGTGCGGACTTACAATTGATACCCGGTCCCCTTTCCTTGGAGCAACACCAGACCTCCTAGTTTCATGTGCCTGTTGTGGAAATGGATGTGTGGAGGTCAAGTGCCCATACAGCTGCAAAGGGAAGGACTTGTCTAATCTCAACAAGGACTTTTGCCTGGAGAAGATTGGAGATGATCTACGACTAAAGAGGAATCACCCATACTATTCCCAGGTTCAAGCTCAGATTTTCATTTGCGAGAAGGACTTTTGTGATTTTGTTGTATGGACACATAAAGCCATCCACATAGAGAGAATTCAGCCAGACTTGGACTTTTGGGAGGAAGCAAGGGGGAAAGCAGAGAAGTTTTTTAAAAGTGCTGTTCTTCCAGAGTTACTGTGTAAGCATTACTCTAAACCTGTACTTTCAACACAACTTCAGAAAGTTGAAACTGCCAACACATTGACACCAACACCGACAGTGGATGCAAATGGTGATGATGAGACAATCTGCATTTGCAGAAAACCCTATGATGACACAGAGGATAGAGTTATTGGCTGTGACAACCAGAACTGTTCCTATAAATGGCTTCACTTTAAATGTGTGAACTTAAAGCGTGCCCCAAGGAAGAATGCAGAATGGTTCTGTCCAGAATGCAGGAAGCTACCAGTCTTCAGCAGGAAAAAATAGTTCAGTGTCACATAACATATTGGATGCAGACTTCAGGATTCCACTAACTGTTTATAACTTAAACTGTGATTTAAAGTGTTACCACTTCGAACTTTACACAGAAGTTAATTTGCTTTGTTCTTTAAAATTCTAAATTTATTTACATAAAATGAATATTACCATCGATCACTAAGTGTAAATTTATTGTACATGTAAATATTAATCAATGTTAATGTTAATGTTACTTTGTTAATTCATGATACAGACTACTTTGTTTGATACTTGTATTTTGTACAGATATTTTTCATTACTTTTGCTTGAATTTATCCATTAATTGAAACTGATGAATTGTTAAAATTTAACACGTAATATATCTCTGACTACATATATCCTCTTCACATTAACTACATGTTATGTATGTTAAAGTATCAGGTATAATGCACTTGCTGTTCTTCCCAAGTCTTTCAAAAAGTCCCAGTTATTATTTGCACTATGTAGAAAATAGCTAGTAGAAAACTTGTAAATTTTATAAATTTTGTATATATATATATATATATATATTGTTTCATGGACATACTTAAACATGATGTTTTCAACAATGTTTCTTTTTCTTCTCAACCAAGGAAAAGCCGAGTTTTTCACAGCCAAAGTTTTTAAGTATTAAAATTGATGAAAGAGGAAAAGCGGGTACTGTATTGAAGATCTAAAGATTCCATATGTGATGATGATTGATGATGATGATGATTGCATTGACATATGTGATGATGATGATGATTGCAATGTTATATGTGATGATGATGATGATGATGATGATGATGATGATGATGATGATGATGATGATGATGAAATTTTATAGAAAGTTTTTTTAATTGCTAAATTTGTATTTAACTTCTTAAACTAGATTGCATATGTAATGATGATGATGATTGAGATGATGATTGTGATGATGATGATGATGATGATGATGATGATGATGATTATGAAATTTTATAGAAATTGTTGGCAAGTTTTTTTAATTGCTTTATTTGTATTAAACTTGTTAAAGTAGATTCCATATGTGATGATGATGATGATGATTGCAATGCCACATGTAATGATGATTGTGATGATGATGATGATGAAATTTTATAGAAATTGTTGGCAAGTTTTTTTAATTGCTAAATTTGTATTAAACTTTTCAGACTAGATGGAACGTAATATTTAATTGTGATTGTACATATGTATGGACTCTCCTTTTGAAATTAAATTGTTTGTATTTAAAGTTAAATTATTTGTGTCTGTCATTGTTTTCTCCAGTAGTATATTGTCATATTGTCATTGGTGTGATATGACAAAATGACAATACCTGATATACAATGTTTAGAAATACAAGCAGTTGTTTCCAATTATCAAGAGTTTCCAGGTGTATGTTTACATAATATACCTGGTAGACAAATTTATTTAGTTTGACTTAAGACCTAAGTCATTTTAATAGTCCCCTACTGGTGAAACCAGGGGGGACAATAGTGTTTATCTCTGTCAGTCTGTTTGTCTATATGTTGGTTTCCAGATGATAACTTGAGAACGGATTGATGGATTTGAATGAAACTTCATACAATGGTAGCTTATGAGGTGATGAATTATTTGATATGGTTTTGGGAAGAAAGGTCAACTATAAAGGTCACTGATACTAAAAACAGAAATTGTCGTATTGAAGTTGTGCAGATAAATACTGTAATTTATGGCAGGGGACATGTGTTGCATGCAACACTTACTGTAAGCTTGTTTTAATAAAAACAATTCAAAGCCATAATAAATACTTGAAAATTAATTTATTGAAAATATATTAATATTTCCTCATGATTAACACTGGGATCATATACATTACATGGCAGTAATATTGAGTACAAAGGACAGGTCTGCAGAAACAGAAACTACAAGTACCATCTATGTACATTTCGTGCTACGATTAATACAGTCAAACCTGCTTTAGAGGACACCTGTCTATAAAGGACAGTCTCAGGAACCCCAACAAGTTTTACTATATAATATACCTCTATATAGAGGACACTCTCTATAAAGGAGACTTAGAAATTCCCCCAAACACTATTTTCTATGTAAAATAACCTCTATTTAGAGGACAACAACATTTGAATATTCTGTGTACATGTAACTGTATCTAAATATATATATATCACTACAAGTGTTAGTTATATCATTTATAAGCACATTTTATAGTTTTCAAAGAAACAAGTAAACTCATAGATATGATAAAAATGAATGGTTTAAGTGTCATTGTTTACATATACACAAGAGAATTATCTAGTGTCAATGATTTGGAAGGGATGCTGTTGCTTTAAGTGTCTACAGACACAAATCATACACACTCATGTTCAAGAAAGGCTGATATTCAACTTTTTGTTTTGATTGGTTATCATGTAGAAAAATACACAAAGTGGTTATCTTAATAACTAAACAAAGATGAGATTAAAATAAAATGTCATATAAAATATATCAGGTTGTAGTAAGATTTCTCTTATACTTTAATACTTAATTAGGGACAGACAGGACTTATTTCTGAGAAAAACCTCTGTCTCCAAGTTTTGTATGGGTATATAAAGGACACCTGTCTATAAGGGATACTTGTCATTTCCCCTCAGTGTCCTTTATACACAGTTTGACTGTACTTATAATCAGCATCATCATTTGAACACAATATGGTTGCAAACAAATATTTAAATATAGAGTTATAAAATATTAATAATATATAATATTCTTAATATGGATTAATTATGATCCAGACAATGCTAAATCATTCAGAAAAAAATGCCATATTCACTAATTTCAAGATTTCACATTCTTTTGACAAATACACTACTTTAAGTGTAAAATGTATGAAGTGTTTTCATTGTCAATCAAAATTCACAATAGAACCACACAAGTTGGTCAAACTACAGCAAACAGTAACAATTTTGTCTACAGCTGGAACATCTCCTGTGCGCGCAATCAAATAGTCTACAGGTAAAGTATCTGAAAGAATTGTAAACTTGTTCCTAACCAGTCCAATCACGCGTTCCACATGAATGCGGACATGTGCAATGTTTCTTGTGGATTCTACCTCAAGTGCTGACAACTGGCTCTTTCCTTTAGTAAAACTTGGTATTTTAACCTCCGCACACATTACACCGACACTTTCCTGAATGTCGAAACCACGGTCAGCAAGTACGATATCTCCTGGAAGAAGTTTCTTTAAAAAGCCACTGTTTTCCACAATATACTTGTCACTACTGCGTCCTCCCCAAGCATTTGACAGATAGGTTATACATCCTTGAGGGGCTATTCCAATTAATATTTTTACAGTATTATGGTGTTTATACGAAGACCATGTCTTTGCTCTTGCAAGAAGATTTGAAGGCCGCTCAATAAAGATTTCAAAACAATCAATGATAACAGCGACTTTCAAGCCAAAATGCTTCCTGAATTCCATGGGCATTGAAAGTCTCAGTTCCTCTCTCTCTGGCCAGTAAACAAACTCTCGCAGTCTAATGTATAAAACGTCCAATACAGTTAGGAATGTCCTTGATGCGGTGGGCTGTGAGATATTGAAGATATATCCAAGAAACTGAAGGGAGAGTGTAAGTCGCAGTTTCATCAGAGTCATAATAAATCTCTGAAACTTTGAGAATGTCACACGGCCGCTATCTGGAATGTAATCTTTCACAAAGTCAAACACAGTCATCAAAGTTAAAAATCCTGGAAGCCCTGTGAAGCAGTTTACCTTCTTGTCATTGTCTCTGAATGCATCCTCACTGAATATCTGCCCTTCCAGGATATGTTGCCTTAATGTAAGGTTTTCTGTTGTCCGCTCCTGACACTCTGCATTTAACTTCTTCAACAATTCTTCCTTTTCCTGACTTCTAACCTCCATTAGGTCTTTCGCTGATTCTGCAGGGAAGAGAGGTCCTAATTTGAAGAAGTGAACAGGTTTGTCATCTTTCTGAAGCCAATCACACACCTGTGGCTGACTGTCTTGGACACTACATGTGGATAAATCCATTAAAGCTCTGGCAGCTAAATGCTGTTTCCGCTTGTCATCACGTTGGTTTGCCCGTTGGAAACGCTCACTCTGGCTGCTTGGAGTTGTTGGAGATGTCAACTTCCTATTCAACTTCAATGAGGGGACCCAGTCAGGATTTGCTTTATCAAAAATCTTTGATGGTTTACCTGCAAAAAAAAAAGAAAAATCTTAAAAAAAGGAATGGGATTAAAAATAATGAACTGGTTACAGAACTAAATACTTTTTTTTTCATCACACTATTTATAGTGAGACAGGCCTGATAGTGTATGTATGTTACATGTACTTGAAGTTGACCTGGTTTTTATATATGATAAAAGAGATAATATAAGGACATGTTATGATCAAAGTATATTATCACGGACTTATAAATATAGATATAAGTCCGTGGTATTATTGATATCTTTAAAAGAATGCATCTACTACATACGTTGTAGTTATACAAGATCGTACGTAACTACTAGTCGGTACTAGGCCTAGAGCCTAAATAAAGATATAAGATTATTTCCGGTACAGGACTCGTATGTTGTTCGAAAGCACCACTAGGAATAAATCACTTCGAGTGAAGTAAAACACGTCATATAAATATTGGATAAAACAATAAGTTCAGATTTACAGGTATTTGCACCAAATGCCATGTTACAAAACTATCGCATGCTGTACTGTACTGTACGGTGTCTCATTATAAATGTGATTCGCATTATTAGTGCACGTTTCCAAAACTCGTGTGACTTTAAATATTTTATGTAGCTAAGTAGTAAATGAAATCAATTGATGTCAGTTTATCTACCTTCTAAAAAATGATCCGAGCACACTTTAGAATGGGTTGATGGCACGAAGTCCTTTCTGCCTATGGCCGCGATCCATTTTGTTCTTCTCTCTCTGCTGAGTTCTTCTGTCCATTTGTCCTCGTGGAGTCTTACAGTAGGGAATCCATAAAAACCACGCTTTGTTCCCCTGTCGTTCGCCCGATTCGTACAGCCGTACACTACGCAGGTGTGAACCATCGTCTGTTTGTTTACCAATATATTCAAATGTGCTTCGCTCGAATGACTGATTATTATCGCTTGACCCACAATATGGCGGAGGTCGCAAGATGCCCGGATGTGTGACGTCATGGGAATTCTATCTATTCTTTAGTTTCGTATTTTGACTGCGGTTTGACGATTTACAGAATCGGGCAGGATCGGACAGAATTGGGCAGAATCGGACTAGAATAGTGCCGTTTTAATGATTTTTGTGAATTTCTTTTGCATTGATATCATCATATGTTACACATTGTGAAAGGTTTTTAAGGAAAAATGAAGACGCATTACATAAAACACTCATTTCTGATTTGGTCGCGCAAGACCGAAAGACGATTTACAGGATCGGGCAGAATCGCGGTAGAATGGGTCCTACTTAAACCAGCCCGCAGACGAGGAATCTTAAGCCCCGCCCACTTCCCGTGGTGTTAATATGAAGAACCATAGACATATAATATATGGAAGAACTTAGCACTGCTGTCGCCGGGATGAAAAAATACCTGTGCTGTATGAATAACTGCATAAATATATATAAAATAAATGTTAAATAAATCAACTTGAAATACAATTATATTAAATAATTGTTAATATCAAATGAATATTGACCAGATAATTGGCTTACAAAAATATACCATGACTCATCATGGCGGGCGGCGCTGCTAACACGCTGTTACGAGAGGAAAATCGTATCGCGTATAACTTTCTTAATCAGCGAGAAATCACTTCGAAATTTTACAGATGGGATTAATTAAGTAAAAATAACCATTATAAAACTTTATTTCTTAACTATCGTATCCACAACGCCTGCGGGCGTCTAAGTATACTTGCGGGCGTCTGCGGGCTGGTTTATGCGGTTAGACGATTTACAGAATCGGGCAGGATCGGGCAGAATCGGACTAGAATAGTGCCGTTTAAATGATTTTCGTGAATTTCTTTTGCATTGATGTCATCATATGTTACACATTATGAAAGTTTTTTAGGGAAAAATGAAGACGTATTACATAAAACACTCATTTCTGGTTTGGTCGCGCAAGACCGAAAGACGATTTGCAGGATCGGGCAGAAACGGGCGGTTTATATGTAGAATTTGGACATTAAATTGTTTTTAGTGTAATTATTGTGGTGTTAAATGATATCAGTTAAAACATCATAATTTCATATCGATCAACAACGGCCAAAAAAAGTATTATGTTCTTTTCACATAACGTAATGTGCCGCACTGGACCGAAAGACGATTTGCAGGATCGGGCAGAATCGGGCGGTTTATATGTAGAATTTGGACATTGGTTGATTTGTAAATTCATAGGTTAATTATAAAATATATCATAGAAAATTGATAATACCTTTTTGTGCTGTGTTAACAATTTTGGAAATCCCCCGCACCCCCACTATAGTAAAGAATAGTGACTATACACTTGGTAATAATGTTGTCGGCAGCATGTGAAATAAGTCGGGGATGTTTCCCTTTCAGTTTTATTATTAAGTGATATAATGTAGAAAGCCATCTGCTACGGTGATAATGTCCTGATAATGCTGCTAATTAAGTAACATTATCAGGGATATCTCACCGCATTGCCCAGGTCTCGGGATCGTGGACCCTGCTTTCATGGAGACCTTTTTGGGGGGGGTGGGGGTGTTTTTTTTTTTTTTTTTTTTTTTATTTTGTATTTATGTCTACCTGTACCCAAACAACACTCTACAAATATCATGATAATACTTCGCTAGTCCTTTGTCATTGAAGTGGACAAGGTCTGTCGTATACATCGCTGGATACGGAATGTTCATTTTTACTACACTGTCCTTGAAAATCTTGAATAGTTTCTTGTTCACTGACGACTGCTGGCGTTTGAAATGTTGCATGGATAAGCCACCCCTGAATTTACCCCGCGCTACAATTTCCTGAATTAGAACTGTCTTCACGCCTGACGCTTCAATAACATCTACTAAAAGCGAGTTGGCGCCATGATAAGAAGGTAGTCTGGTGGCTTGGTTTGAATTATCAACTAACAGCACTTATAAACAAACAAAACTTACAAACAGAACATCAATTTTGCTTTAATCCTTGTCGTTGTGGCAAGATCGTCTTAATATATAACATCACTTTACCTCATTAGACGTCACAAAATTGGACTGTTCGTCCCACGCGCACACCCGCCGATATGACACTTTTTCAGGTTTTTCACACCCACCGCCATGACACTTTTTCAAGTTTTTGAAGATAAAAAGTTTGCGATTCGTAGGCAAGGTACATTTGGTGCTCATGGTTTATGAATAATATATTTTTAATACTGTACTGATCATGATGTTGACTTTGTTATAACTTGTATTTTTTGTCTTTTAGTTTTATTTGATTAAGGTTGATTGTGCTGATTTCTCAAGGTTTGTTAATATGTATCAAAGTTCCTTGGAATGAAAATATTCCTTCAAACAAAACGCGTATAAAAAAACAAAATATTCATGTTTATAATTATCAATTAACTAGAACGAAATATTTCCATAACATATTTATGGTGACATTGTCTAATGCATTGGAGATCAGAAATAGTAGTAGCTATAGTATAGTGAAAGACAATATATTATAGTTTTAGTCGGATTTGCAAAGGCGATGCTTATATGTTTAACAAGTTTTCATTATTAAAACCAGAATGTTCTCTCCAACCGTTTTCATTTCTCTTTGCTATTGAGAGTTTTCGTTCTGTTAATTAACAAATCATAAAATGCTTTAGAGCCTTCAGTTTTTAAGCAATGTTAACTTGTCTTGCTAGCAAAAAGAGAGTAAAGTTATAAACACTGTTCTGTTATACATTATAATTCAGAAAATCAATCTAAATATATCTGTTTAAAGAAAAATCTTATTACAGTCACAAAATATTACATAAACTGCATTTTTCTGGAACCCCCTCCCCCTAGAAAATTTCTAAACATTCAAATACTTGATCATAATCAATTTCTAACAGTTTTCGAAAGAACTTCCACATCTTGCAGAATTAATATAGTTAAAAAGACGAAAAAGTTTTTCGCCAAATCGGGACCTTTCGACTGCTTCCACGTAAAAGACGGTGTCTAACGGAAAGTGACCAAAGTTCACCAAGGTTAACCCGGAAATCAGGTACATCGGAGAACAAACATGCTCTCATCTTGAATTTTCAAATTGTAATTTTTCAACGAGGTGTTTGTTATGTTTTTCAAACCATTACAGTATATATTTTTTACCAGAGTTTGACTTTCAAGACTTTGCGGCAAAAATGTAGTCATAGTTTTACTGTTTGACAGCACTGAAAATACATCGTATTTGGTTTCCATGAAAGGTCTTCTGACCTGAAAGTAAGGGTATACCACCCTGGAATCCAAGGCGTAGCATGCCACACCCACAATTTTCTACGAAGTTGATATTTATCCATATTAGCAGGTCGTTATTTTTCAGAATCTGATATACCCAAGTCAGTAGTATAGCATGCAAGTAAGTGAATCGATCTTTTAAGTCAAATATAATCATATTAAAGATACTTTATCCCCTTGAAAGATCGACACTTTTACTTAAAATATACCAAGATAATGTTTTCCTGCATTGTATTTCTTTTATTTTTTATTCGTTCTTGTTTCAGTTATCCACTATGTTCATCCTGCCTGGAACCATCATGACCATGGATGATCATTCGTATTCTTTGGTAATTAAAAAAAACTCACAATGGAAACAAACTTGTAATAGTATTACATCACTGTGACAAGTGAGCTGGCTGGTACCATTTATTTATTTATTATTTATTAGAAATTCTACATGGGTAGCCTGAATGTGTGTATTTTATGTTTTTGTAACATATATATAATGATATGGAGGAATTCCAGCCTCATTACAATGGTATGTTAATTATATTCAAATTATATTAAACACTCTATGATGTGTACATTCTATGTCATAAGGAAAGGGCGTTAATAATACTCACATTACTTCTGTCCAACCCTTTCGTCTTTTGACTATGAACTATTTAAACTGGAAAGAGGAAAGGTCCAGTGGGAAAAACTAAAATATCAGAGAATTTCTTAACCGCATTTTTTAAAATTCATAGCAATCTTATACAATCCATGTATTGAATGAATAAAAACGCATAAACATCCTTATAAATTTGCATATAACTGACAACAGATGTTGACATCCTGGGGTTATACAAAGAGCCTATAGAACTTACTCACATCAAATATTTGTTTACTTTTGCAAACAGAAGAGAAATTTTGAATTTCTGCCCGCTTCCTCCACAGTCACATTGATGCTGATTCAGCTAGCTGGCAAACTGAGCCAATCAGATGCTTCCTGCTTTCCCCGATGACAGCTATTTTCCCCATGGCCCTCCACAAAGACTGACAGGCAAATCCTCTACAGCAAACCTGCGCAGGAAAGGACCATACCCTCATCCCTTCTGTTGATAATCGCCTACCAGCCCCTGATATCTTGCCATCTACCTCTTCCACGCGTTCTTCCTACCACACTTTCAGTTCTACAATGATGACCTGTGCGGTTGTCGACGACTACAGTACTATATCTTGTCTCCGGATTGTTGTGATAATATCCTATGGGAATTTTATTCTGCCATTCATATCTGCCTTCATGTTTGAGTCTCCCACTGTTGCCATGATCCCTGTTCCTTCGACTCTTGCCTTTTCACTCCCACCTGCTCGAATAAACTTTACAAACTTAGGCCCTTTTGTCACCTTTGGTGGATTCTTACGATGCACTACCCGTGTAATGCAAGTTGAGAAAGCACTTTGTCGTGGCGCCAAATGTATTGTCTATCCTTCAGAGCCACTCGGTAACATGATAAGACATGTTCTAAATTCGCCACTCTCTGGCACAAGGCACCCTTCGGATCTTCACTGAGACCCCATGTACAAAGGTTTGTTGGGCTTGGCTGCACATCCTACAGAGATCTCAGAAGAAATCAGATATGTTGCTCCATGAGAGAGTCCTCTCTCGAACTCCCTGCCAGTTCAGCCAACTTCCCTGGGCTTTTTTCATAAATCCTGCCTTTACCTATGTTTATACTTTATGTCCTGCTTCTCTTCCATTTCCATCACTTCTTTCTGCATCAATTCTGTTCCGTTCCTGCATTACTTTGAGAAGTTTATCAATTACGTGATATTTGCGGAATCAAAATATGTTTTTGATATCTATATTTAACAAAAAGTATCATTAACTTTCATGACACCAAAGAGATAATTCTCTGAAGCTGGGGACAGAGAGGGCTTAACAACAATGGAAAGTTCTCTCAAGCAGAAGGCAAGGATAAGCTTGACGCCAAAGGGAATCTTCTCTCAAGCTGAAGAGGTGGGCATAACCCCATAGGGAACTTTCTCTCAAGCTGAAGAGGTGGGCATAACCCCATAGGGAACTTTCTCTCAAGCTGAAGAGGTGGGCATAACCCCATAGGGAACTTTCTCTCAAGCTGAAGAGGTGGGCATAACCCCATAGGGAACTTTCTCTCAAGCTAAACACAAGGGTAAGCAATAACACCAGAACATTCCCCCAAGCTGAAGAGGAAATGGGCATGGGACCCAATAAACGTTCTTTTAAGGTGGAGGCAAGGACAGCTATCAACACAAAGGAAACATTCACCCAAACTGACGACAAGGGTGGGCATAACACCAGAGTAACGTTCTCTCAAGCTGACGACACGTTGTGACAATGCTGATATAATGAACAGAAAAAGTGAAGGATCACAAATATATGTGATTTTTTTCTGCCATTGAAATAAATCAAGCTTGACACCCCTTGACCACTTTTTTATCACCAATGTATGTAACATGACTTTTTGTCATGATTTGTCCGCGCAACCTACAGTAAACATATGACATTACGTCATGTAATACAGGGTTAAAACAAGCTGTCAGTTGCGGTTTTATTGAAAGTCTGTGTGAACTTAACAACAAATAAATAAACAATTTTTGTGTTTCTTCTTAATGTCCTGTCATTTTGCATCCTGTTTTGAACATTTGAGACGTCACATGACCGCTACAGCGACGGCCATAGCAGTCGGGATGCTGCAAGCAGGACAATCACAACAAACAGGGGTCGCAGCGTATCATTTCTCGATTATTGAATTCCAGATGACCGGAACCGTCACCGTGAGACCGCGATCGACAGTGGCAGCCTATTCTTTCTGACGTGAGTATCCAGGTTTTGCTTTTTGTTTTCTTATTGTTTGACTTCACTCCAAAAGTTTTTTCCTTTTGATGAAAAATTTATTTATTTTCCAAAACTAATCACTATTTTTTCCCAATATATCATACAGTTATTAGGTTATTAATAATTTCTTAGGAAAAGGGAAATTTTTAAAAAATGTCCCTTGGTTTGCAGACTTTTCGGGAACGGTTTCTTTACATCATCACCGAGTGCATTAGTTTAAATGAAAGATTCATAAGGTCTTGTATCAAATTGACTTTCGGTCACTTAAGAACGATGAACTAGTCCATTAATTATCCTTCTTTCAACTGTAGGAGACAGTGGTTGCAGTGGTGGTTCACCGCGAACGAGCGAGAAACTTGTGTATCCAGCACCTCTTCGATATGGAATGTATGAAGTCCTGGCCATTTCTGGTCGTCTAGGACGGTATCGATGGTGATGGCGGTAACGATACCAGCTATTATCAGATAGAAATGGTGGCCGACCCAAACACTACCATAGCTAAAAAAAAAACGAGAGAAGAAACAGAAGCCTGACAAACACGGCAGAAGGGTAAACAAAACTTGATAGAATTGGAAAACTAATACGGATAACCTCCCTTTGATTCTAATGTTTGTTCAGAGCATGTTTATAAATATTTTTTCTTACGATTTTTCCTGACTTAGATATTAAAGACTAGCATACAAAACAAAATACCAAAAATGAGGTATGGTGTATGCTTTTACTTCCGCGGTAGAAAAAAGTGGGTTTTTTATGATTTTTTTTTCGTTTTTGTCGCGGTTTGGTCGAATGAATGTGTGTATATACTATATCTTACTGCACTTATTTGTAACTGATTTAGATAACTAAAATGTTGCTAACAGACCAGTCCTTTTACAGGTATAACTAGACGGTATATTACACCCACAATGTAAACATATTTATGGTAGAACGTTATATTGGGTTAATCAAACTTGATACGGAGGTTGTCGTCAATGAAGCTTTATATGCTTCCTGATCACACCGGCTTATTCTCCTCACTCATTCACTCCTCAGTTATCTCTGCGTTAATCACCGTTTGTTTATATTCTCCATCGCTTCACCGATTTTAAAATACGGCTTATGAGTGTGTGTAGGGGGTGTTGTTGTTTGTTTTTTTTTCCTATTCTACTATTTTAAAACGTGACCAGCCATTTTTTCAAAGCTTTTGACACAGGCCATGATTGTGTTAAGATCTCTTCGTCAGAATTTTCTACTACTTCCGTGTTATTTATAACAACATCAGTATCACCGCTTTATAATATACTGGCAGCGTGAAAACATCAAAAACTGGAATGTTTGCTGGAAAAGAACAATGAATCGGACTTTAGTCGGATTACAGGTGAGAATTATCACATCGCTGTGGATACGTTCTTCATAAACGCTGCTACACTTCCCCAGACTGACGATACGGCTACACCCCTCACCCTTCCACCAGTGACGCCTACCAAACGTTCTCACTCCAAAAAGTACAAAAAGAAAATGAAAATGGCTTCTTACGATGTAGACGTTTTGTAATGCGTTTCGTTGCTTAATTAACTGAAGTATGATATCAATGCAACTTTTTAATGTTAGAAACAGGAAAAATTGTAAACCTTCTGTACCACATATCAAATGCAGATCTATCAATAATTAGAAAGTGCATTATAGATAATGTAAAATTAATGTAAATTTGAATTAATGTTATGACATTCTATATCATTTTATAATAACTATGCTGTAGATAATGTATCATTCTATAATTACTGTGTTGTAGATAATGTATCATTCTATAATTACTGTGCTGTAGATAATGTATCAATCTATAATTACTGTGCTGTAGATAATGTATAATTATATTATAACTGTGCTGTAGATAATGTATCATTCTATAATTACTGTGCTATAGATAATGCATAATCATATAGTAACTGCGTTGTAGATATAGTTATCTATAATTACTATGCTGTAAATTCTACAATTATCATCTTTTTTTTTAATTCAAAAAGATATGTATCAATTCAACGATTATCCTGAAGAAGTATACGTACGGATTATACTACACGTACACATTCAGTATTACTAGTTAACCTCGACCAAGTGCCAGGCGAGCTTATACCGTGGTGAGGCGTCCATCGTCCGTCCGTCCGACGTCAACTTTTCTATTTAAACAACTTTTTCTTAGTAACCAAAAGGCCTAGAACCATCATATTTAACTGGACGATTACAAGATGATGAAGCACAGAAACGCCTGCAGAAAGAAATGACATTGAACCATATTGAAGGTCAAAGAGGACACATTTGTTTAAAATGTTCAAACAATCTCTTCTGACTTACCAACATGCCTAGAATTAGTATGGTATTCGGCTGTAAGCTATTGGCATAGATGTCAAAAATGTGAAATGATGATGTGTTTGTGAAAAGCTTTGAATGCAATGTGAGCGATAAAAGACCAGTGGACCTCTTGTTGTTACAATAAAAATATTCATTTTAATGTTATATCACTCAGGGAAATTAAACGATAATGTTGGTTGAAGATAAAGAAAGGATATTGGAATTATGTCTACGGTATATAGGAAAAAAAATTAACGAGTTGTAGGTTGTATTATCGGTCACACATTATACAAGTTATAACTTACACAAGAACACTAACACTATGACTGTGTAACTTAGGAACATATTTAAGCTTTCCAGTACATTGGTTATTGTATTGTTAGCTACTTTGAAACACGGTAGGTAGTTATAACATCTAAAATGCTCATCTGATACTCAAATAATTAGGAAAAGGCAATACAATTTTAATATCTTATTGTACATTCCAGAACATGAAAAGAGGTCCACGTTATTGAAAGTTAATGATGTTGGCGAAATAAAGAGTGATTACAATAAAACAATAAATAGTGTATTCTCGAGCTGATGTCGCTTCATTTTTTCTACACCTTTCTGGGATGGGAGAGATAGTTCATTTAAAATACAACAGTGTGGATTTTACATCAAATCTAGAACTACAGAAATAGTTTAGTTTATTTACGTTTACACCAATGGGAAAACGCAACACTTCAGCTGTCAGTCCAACGTCTATCAATGATTGACAGGGCTACTTTCTCTAACAGACATTCTCGTGTGGCTATTCAATTGACAATGGTAACGCCCATATAACGATGTCCGAGCACGGAAAGTTAATGGTTAGTTAGAGCATTTGTTAGCCTTTGACCAGGAAAAGACGTGCAAGTCTTGACAGTCAATCGCTAACATTAAATATCATTGTTACATGTTCTCTGGTCAGTGTGGCTCTGGTTTAAACATTAACATAACCTTAGTAATTATACTCTCATTTTGTTCTAGCAGACATTATGGAGTATTCTGGAACGAAATGTGTGCCCGAAAACTCTAACAAAACAGGAAACGATAGCAATCTCGACAACAGAGACAACGAAGAAAATGGAGGGAAATATCAAGTTCTAGGAATTAGTGAAGACACGCCATACGAAGGACATTCTGAGGAGGAAATGAAAACTGACGATAACTATAGAGACAAGAAGGGGCTGTGCAGTTACAGAAATAACCTACAAGGTGACAAAAGTGACAGAAAATATCTCTCACCGAAGAGTCGGTGTGGTGAAGGTGTTAAGGAGATGCGAAACACCATTAACAGGAGAGAACGACGAAGGATGCATCAGCTTAACATAGCTCTGGATGGCCTGCGAGATGTGATGCCCTCTGTTCACTCGTCGTCTGCTCGAAAACTCTCTAAAGTAGCCACACTGATGTCAGCCAAAAATTACATTCAAATGCTGGTCAAGTCTGTCCAAGAAATGCGCGTTTTACTGCACAAACTCGGTGGGTGGAGTGGGGCTTTCAGTAAAGGTGTGCCTTACTACCGTGGTCCTGTCGTGACGCCGCCGCAATTTTCCTCGCCATCACAAAGTTTCCTGGACACTCCGTCAACTCCAACGAGTCTTACTCCGTGTACTTACAGTTACAGCAGGGAGACGCCTGTTACTTCGACAATGAAGGTGAATATAATGTCACCGTTACACCATCAGGAATATTGTCAACATGTGTATCATACCAACAGATCGCAAACTTTATCGGAACATTACTCACACAGAGCCAACTGTTTTCATTGTTATTATTGATATATCATCAGTAGCTGTTGTCTAATGAGATATTAAGTGGACATCACCTAGACTAACATTGACTGACTTTGGTATGCAAATTACGAAAAACTGTTTTCAACGTGATTTTTCGAAATCCTATGTATGCTACAGTAGTATTTAAAGTAAATAAAAACTTAGAAGGCATACATATCATTTAACATTATATTTATGTATCATATCCTCCTGACCTGTCTGTATGCGTGGTGGTTCAATTAATAACTTTGATATATGAACAGAACGATTTCGTTCATATTGTAATAATTATTCAGCACGTCATCAAATATTTGATAAAATATCACAATTATGAAACATATTTGGATTTATCATTATTATCAAACTCTTGAAATCTATTTTCAATGTCGGGTATATTTTGGGGAGTTGATAAGAAATTGCCTGATAACTGGATCTTTTGTCATAGCCCAACCTCAACATACATGACCATGTCACGAATTTGAAGAACGAAAGCACCCTCTCATTTAATATGTATAAAGCTAGTTAAGTAAATATTATTTATTTACAACAAATTTTCACTTTGTCCAAAACTATTTTGATGATAATTATTCTTCGAGCTTTCTTTATTTATGCCACATTTATGCCATATTAAGTAAGTAAAATCTTTAGAAAAAATATACTAGATACTTTAAGATCGTTATACACTTTTATCTCTATAAACATTTAATACATTATCAATTGTTTCCCTTACCTGCAACATAAGTATAACATCGTTACACGTAATGTTCCCAACCGGGACAGAATTTGTCTGTAAGTATAACATCGTTACACGTAATGTTCCCAACTGGGACAGAATTGGTCTGTAAGTATAACATCGTTACACGTAATGTTCCCAACCTGGACACAATTTGTCTGTAAGTATAACATCGTTACACGTAATGTTCCCAACTGGGACACAATTTGTCTGTAAGTATAACATCGTTACACGTAATGTTCCCAACTGGGACAGAATTGGTCTGTAAGTATAACATCGTTACACGTAATGTTCCCAACCGGGACAGAATTTGTCTGTAAGTATAACATCGTTACACGTAATGTTCCCAACCGGGACAGAATTGGTCTGTAAGTATAACATCGTTACACGTAATGTTCCCAACTGGGACACAATTTGTCTGTAAGTATAACATCGTTACACGTAATGTTCCCAACTGGGACAGAATTGGTCTGTAAGTATAACATCGTTACACGTAATGTTCCCAACCTGGACACAATTTGTCTGTAAGTATAACATCGTTACACGTAATGTTCCCAACTGGGACACAATTTGTCTGTAAGTATAACATCGTTACACGTAATGTTCCCAACTGGGACAGAATTTGTCTGTAAGTATAACATCGTTACACGTAATGTTCCCAACTGGGACAGAATTTGTCTGTAAGTATAACATCGTTACACGTAATGTTCCCAACTGGGACAGAATTTGTCTGTAAGTATAACATCGTTACACGTAATGTTCCCAACTGGGACACAATTTGTCTGTAAGTATAACATCGTTACACGTAATGTTCCCAACTGGGACACAATTTGTCTGTAAGTATAACATCGTTACACGTAATGTTCCCAACTGGGACAGAATTGGTCTGTAAGTATAACATCGTTACACGTAATGTTCCCAACTGGGACAGAATTTGTCTGTAAGTATAACATCGTTACACGTAATGTTCCCAACTGGGACAGAATTTGTCTGTAAGTATAACATCGTTACACGTAATGTTCCCAACTGGGACAGAATTTGTCTGTAAGTATAACATCGTTACACGTAATGTTCCCAACTGGGACAGAATTTGTCTGTAAGTATAACATCGTTACACGTAATGTTCCCAACTGGGACAGAATTGGTCTGTAAGTATAACATCGTTACACGTAATGTTCCCAACTGGGACAGAATTGGTCTGTAAGTATAACATCGTTACACGTAATGTTCCCAACTGGGACAGAATTGGTCTGTAAGTATAACATCGTTACACGTAATGTTCCCAACTGGGACAGAATTTGTCTGTAAGTATAACATCGTTACACGTAATGTTCCCAACCTGGACACAATTTGTCTGTAAGTATAACATCGTTACACGTAATGTTCCCAACTGGGACAGAATTTGTCTGTAAGTATAACATCGTTACACGTAATGTTCCCAACCGGGACAGAATTGGTCTGTAAGTATAACATCGTTACACGTAATGTTCCCAACTGGGACAGAATTGGTCTGTAAGTATAACATCGTGTAAATTGTCTGTAAGTATAACATCGTTACACGTAATGTTCCCAACTGGGACAGAATTGGTCTGTAAGTATAACATCGTTACACGTAATGTTCCCAACTGGGACAGAATTTGTCTGTAAGTATAACATCGTTACACGTAATGTTCCCAACCTGGACACAATTTGTCTGTAAGTATAACATCGTTACACGTAATGTTCCCAACTGGGACACAATTTGTCTGTAAGTATAACATCGTTACACGTAATGTTCCCAACTGGGACAGAATTTGTCTGTAAGTATAACATCGTTACACGTAATGTTCCCAACTGGGACAGAATTGGTCTGTAAGTATAACATCGTTACACGTAATGTTCCCAACCTGGACACAATTTGTCTGTAAGTATAACATCGTTACACGTAATGTTCCCAACTGGGACAGAATTGGTCTGTAAGTATAACATCGTTACACGTAATGTTCCCAACCTGGACACAATTTGTCTGTAAGTATAACATCGTTACACGTAATGTTCCCAACTGGGACAGAATTGGTCTGTAAGTATAACATCGTTACACGTAATGTTCCCAACTGGGACAGAATTTGTCTGTAAGTATAACATCGTTACACGTAATGTTCCCAACTGGGACACAATTTGTCTGTAAGTATAACATCGTTACACGTAATGTTCCCAACTGGGACAGAATTGGTCTGTAAGTATAACATCGTTACACGTAATGTTCCCAACTGGGACAGAATTGGTCTGTAAGTATAACATCGTTACACGTAATGTTCCCAACTGGGACAGAATTGGTCTGTAAGTATAACATCGTTACACGTAATGTTCCCAACTGGGACACAATTTGTCTGTAAGTATAACATCGTTACACGTAATGTTCCCAACTGGGACACAATTTGTCTGTAAGTATAACATCGTTACACGTAATGTTCCCAACTGGGACAGAATTGGTCTGTAAGTATAACATCGTTACACGTAATGTTCCCAACTGGGACAGAATTGGTCTGTAAGTATAACATCGTTACACGTAATGTTCCCAACCTGGACACAATTTGTCTGTAAGTATAACATCGTTACACGTAATGTTCCCAACCTGGACACAATTTGTCTGTAAGTATAACATCGTTACACGTAATGTTCCCAACCTGGACACAATTTGTCTGTAAGTATAACATCGTTACACGTAATGTTCCCAACTGGGACAGAATTGGTCTGTAAGTATAACATCGTTACACGTAATGTTCCCAACCTGGACACAATTTGTCTGTAAGTATAACATCGTTACACGTAATGTTCCCAACTGGGACAGAATTGGTCTGTAAGTATAACATCGTTACACGTAATGTTCCCAACTGGGACAGAATTGGTCTGTAAGTATAACATCGTTACACGTAATGTTCCCAACCTGGACACAATTTGTCTGTAAGTATAACATCGTTACACGTAATGTTCCCAACTGGGACAGAATTGGTCTGTAAGTATAACATCGTTACACGTAATGTTCCCAACTGGGACAGAATTGGTCGAAGTTTAATGACCTGTGGAAGTTTGAGAGGCTATAACCAGAGACGGGGCTGTATAAACAATTTAAAACGTGATAGTACAAAGTACACGTGATACCATAACAGCTAATATGTAACTGTAACAACACAATATAGGATTGTCGATATTTTACATTATGAAACAAGGAGAAAAAATATATTTGTAAGAAAAAAAGTATGGAGAAAGTAGATAATCTGTGATTCTTAACAATGAACACATCTATAATCACAGTAAAGATTAATAAAATGTAGATCACAACGTCACCACTTTTCTAGTCATCATTCTGAAACATCGGGGAACATTATACATTACAGCCATTGTTAAAAAACTAAGACATCTGTATATATGTATATATATATATATGTGTGTATAGTTAAACATGTGAGGAATGACTCAGTGTAACTGACCTTCTCATCGTGAACCTATCTTGATGTGACAATACTGGGCGATTATCTTGTCTCTTCTTAGACTCGAAAAAAGTTTCTTTTGAATGATTGAAGGCAGTATTTAATCATTGATTTAGTTATTCTTTATATGCATGTCCCATTGTTGTTGATAACAAGGACTTCTCAGAAATGTACATAACCATACATCACTATAGCACTCCACTTGTCTCTTGATTTGTATAGAAACGTGATTTTACATTTTATATGCATGGGTTATGACAGAGCTACTACTGATTTCTCGTCTGTATAGTGATTTCTCGACTGTAAAGCGATTTCTTGTCTGTTTAGTAATTTCTCGTCAGAAAACTGATTTCTCGTCTGTATAGCTACTCCTCCTCAGTATAAAGATTTCTCGTCTGCATAGCGATTTCTCGTCTGTATAGCTACTCCTCCTCAGTATAAAGATTTCTCGTCTGCATAGCGATTTCTCGTCTGTATAGCTACTCCTCCTCAGTATAAAGATTTCTCGTCTGCATAGCGATTTCTCGTCTGTATAGCGATTCCTCCTCAGTATAAAGATTTCTGGTCTGTATACTGATTTCACGTCTGTATAGTGATTTCTCGTCAGCATATTGTTTTCTCGTCTGTATAGTGATTTCTAGACTGTATAGGGATTTTTTGTCTGTATAGTGATTTCTCGTCAGAATACTGATTTCTCGTCTGTATAGCGATTCCTTCTCAGTGTAAAGATTTCTCGTCTGTATAGTGATTTCTCGTCAGCATACTGATTTCTCGTCTGTATAGTGATTTCTCGTCTGTATAGCGATTCCTCCTCAGTATAAAGATTTCTCGTCTGTATAGTGATTCCTCAACAGTATAAAGATTTCTGGTCTGTATAGTGATTTCTCGTCAGCATACTGATTTCTCGTCTGTATACTGATTTATCGTCAGCATACTGATTTATCGTAATCACTGTTATTTCTCGTCATTATACTGATTTCTCTTCGCTATAGTGATTTCTCGTCAGCATACTGATTTCTCGTCTGTATAGTCATTTCTCCTCTGTATAAAGATTTCTCATCTGTATAGTGATTTCTCGTCTGTATAGTGATTTCTCTTCGCTATAGTGATTTCTCTTCGCTATAGTGATTTCTCGTCATTATACTGATTTATGTATAGAATAGCGATTTCTCGTCACAGTAATTGCATAATGTCAGTATATTGATTTATCGTTAGTATAGTGACTTGTCATAATAGTGACCTCTCTTCAGTATAGCGATTTCTCGTCATTGCAATTATACGTCAGTATATTTTTTTCGTTAGCATAGTAATTCCTAGTTATCAATTTGAGAATATTTCCTTAGATTGAATTCAGTTTTCATGGCGTAGCGGATATTAACCCCATACACTAGTAACATTTGCTTAGCAGTATTTCGAAGCAGTTCGTCGTCGTGATTCGTGTAGGTGGATAGTTTTTACATTGTTCAGGTGACTGACTTAACGTTTGATGATAATGTAAAGCAGTACATGTATATGTATAAGAGACATAAGTAGTAAAAGCTATCTTTTATTGAAATGTTATATATTAGCAGTTGTGACGCTGTTAAATATAACATTAATTATCATTATTCTACGAAGTATAATTTGTTGAAAGGCCATATTCAGATTCATCTATACAAATCATGGTTATGTGCTATATATTTCACTGTGGTAATGTGTGTGTCATTTGTTTTTTCTCGTGTTTTTTATTATTCAGCCCCTAATTAGAACAGATGACAAAGACTTCAGTAAATTTGTTTTTATGTCCTGCCCTAGTTATAACCTGTAGTATAAAGTCATTGGTTATTGTCGATTCTCAAGTGATATTCTGTGATAATTCAGTAATGTTGAATGTCCATCTGTCTTGTTTTCCTGATAAATCAGTCCATGATAATCTCCTGATGTTGATATCGTGAAGTTACCAGTCAAAGTAGGATTGTTCATGTACCGGTCAGTGTGACAAAGACCGATCGCCAATTGAGAGAAAAGACGTACGGAGGGTCTAGTAATTGGTTAAGCACTTGATAGCCGACATTGCATGCCTTTTTAGCACGTCTATCACACTGGCTGCAGGTGTGGAGACAATGCTAGCTATAAGTGGTTTATTTAGTAAACTGTAAACATTGAAGCATTGGAGGAAATGAGAGATGGTGCTGAGGAGTTTCCCATAATACTGACAGGCGGGACACTAGGGGGAGTACGCTATTTCACACAATATACCTCGAATTAATTAATACGAGTCCATGGAGTCTGCGTGGTCGGCTCCTGTTGCTAGGATTAGTGAAACGCTGACCTCCGTTACGCCCCTCACCACGCCCCATCCTCCATTTACAATACCCAATCTGTCCCTCCACACCTCACCACCGCTGTCATTGTTCGAGTAGTCAATGAGTTTGAGAATACTGTAACATAATGACCAATCCTAACACTTGAGAGAGGTAGAGATATTACAAAACTGTTTTAACGTCTAAATATGATGTTACTTCCCGTCGTCTTTTTTTCTTTTCTTTTTTTTTATAAATGACAGAAATTGGGACACTGGAATCATCATTGTTTGGTTATCAAATCTCTCATTCGATATCAGATTTAGAAAGGTATAATCATGAATTTAGCAGTAATTGGAGCACTGAGGAAAATCACATGTTGTGATTTAACTCATTTGTCTATTAATATATATTGATATCACAACAGCGGTATATTGATATCATGCATTAATATAATCATACAAAATGTAATACAAATATATTGATATCATAGATTAATGTAACCATACAAAATGTAATACAGTTATATTGATATCATAAAACTGGTGTATTTCTAATATTACCATACAAAATGTAATACAAATATATAGATATCATAACATGGTATATTAACATCATAATCCTACTAAATGTAATACAAATATATAGATATCATAACATGGTATATTGACATCATCATCCTACTAAACGTAAAACAAATATATTGACATCATAATCCTACTAAACGTAAAACAAATATATTGACATCATATTCCTACTAAATGTAATACAAATATATAGCTATCATAACATGGTATATTGACATCATAATCCTACTAAACGTAATACAGTTATATTGACATCATAATCCTACTAAATGTAATACAGTTATATTGACATCATAATCCTACTAAATGTAATACAGTTATATTGACATCATAATCCTACTAAATGTAATACAGTTATATTGACATTATAATCCTACTAAATGTAATACAGTTATATTGACATCATAATACTACTAAATGACATACAGTTATATTGACATCAAAATACTGGTATGGCAGATGTTAACGGTGATTTGTTGTATTGTTGAACCACGTGGTGAAATGTCCAGGTTTTTTTAGGGTGGCTCTCACAAGTGTTCCGCGTATGAGTGAATTTTGTTGATTTAACACTAGGTGGAAACTAATCAAAATTATTGTAATACATTATCGAGTAATTAACCATCGTTTTGTCGTCACTACACTCACGTGATAACGACAAACATCACTTTTATAACACGACATGGGCGTAGTGGTTGTGTTTAATGTGTGAACAATACACATTTGATTTTAACTTGCTATATTTAGCACGTTAAACGAAACATCAGATGACACACCATATGACCAGTTTTTTTTTTACATCAAATATGGTAGCATATCAGACATTAGGGGAAACCCGTATTTGACACCTTGCCTGTCCATTGGTACTGATAACAATGAATACCGAATGTCACTTTAATATGCTGGAACACGTTCTGATTGTCTAACCGAGATATGGATGTGAGAAAAATCTTTAGACATGATACGTTCTGTATTTATCACACTTTAGATATACGTTATCGTCCGGTTTTATACATTGGGTAAATCCTGTGGTCCTCTACATAAAATAAGAGAAGACAGATCTACCGAATCAATAAACATCCAATGACGTCAAACACCAGCGGTATCGTTATATATACATTTTCTACTGTTTTGTCGGTCGCTTCATGATGTCACATGTATGCACATCTTTGAATAAATATGTCTTCGAAAATACTAATTTGACGAATTTAGTTTAACGTCGAAGTATACGTAACTTAATGCAAACATTCTGTACATGTGTATACTCCCTGTAAAAGTGTATTCTTGAAGAAAAAATACAAGATATTGTGAAAGTGTCCCGAGACAGAGTAAGAAAAGTGAATCTACCTTCATACTCCAGATATTGCACGTGTTAGCATCATATGTGCCGTTAAGAGAAATTCACTTACGATAGTAACTACACATATGTCTGTAATAAGATGCAGTATAGATTTTAATGCGCTTTCAATTTGGTACATTGGTTGTAATGTGTTCGGATAAGTTCAAATTTTAAAAAAAAACCAAATACCTATAGGCCCCTCAGTCATATCACAGATGTGTCCTAGAAGGACGTATCAGCTTTATGGTACGATTCAATTATTTTATTTATCTATTTCTTTATTTGTTTTTTTTTTTCTTTACTGGATCTACTTTTAAATTCGTATTGAAAAATGCTTTTTCTCCGGAGTCATTTATGTTAAACCCTTAACACACCGTTTAAGAAAATGACAGGAAATGATCACCAGTGAATAATATAGACAAGAGGCCCGTGGGCCTTGATGGTTATCTGACACAGAGAACGTATGTGCTGTTCCACACAAAATTTATGAAAAATTGGTGAGGCATGTCAGACGAGAATAATTTCAAATCCACATTCCCCGATTTCTCCTAATGGGCTTCACCCCTTGGATCTCTACGGCTGCTATACCTTCAGTAATATCCAATATGTTTACCTTACCCGCATGATCTTTCAGACCAGAAGAGAGTTATAAATAAAAATTTAAGAATGTTAAAATTTGGACCCCGCCCCCGTGTCATCATCAGGGATCGAATCAACTTCAACCAAATTTTTACCTTACGAGTCTTGGGTCGCTATACTTTCACAAATATTTCAGGCCAAATTTGGGTGAAATATGTTCAGGCATACAATGTGTATAAAACACTATTTATTATAGATCCATTTCAAAAGTTGAATATATTAGAGGAGATTCCTTCGTAGTCACTCCACATAAAACTTTCAACATAGAACAAAGTTCTGAAATGCCCTAAAATCTCTCACCTTATACTTACACTGAAACTTTTATGGGGTGTAATTAACATTGCGTCTTTCGGCTCCGCAAATATTCCTCCCTTAGTTCACAAGCAGAGTAGTTTGGGAGATGTCTTCTCACTATACTCGGGTTGACAACCTTTGGGTAGGTCATTCTTCCTACTGTATTCAAAATGACCCAACCAATATCTTATTGAATAATACCAACTATACACAACTTTCTGTAGTCGTGTCTCAATATATTTTGATCGTCATTGATCTCCTCTTTGGTTGAAAGTCTCCCTTTAGTTTAGGAGGCAACATAGATAAAATCGATGTTTTTTCTTGTAATTCCATCCATAAGGTCAGCCTCTATTTCGGGCAGCCCCTTAATCTGTGAGATTCATGGCGGTACAATTGACGTGACAGAGCAATGGCCTTTATCCGTGTATTAACATATATCACAAAACAAACAGTTTGGTACCTATATCAATTTTTATTGTTTACATACTACATAAATATCTTGTGTGGTGGATGTTTTCACACTTATCAAACGACAGGTACGTTCCCAATATCAGATGTGCTCATTGCTTTTCAGAAATTTGGATCCTATGCTTACACAATGTACTTATTCTCCATATAACATGTAACAATGAGAGCATTGCTAAGCATTTAAAAGCAGAACCTAAACATCAAAATTTTGACGACTTTTTGTATAATTAAGTGAAATTTATTTTTTGTGTACTTAAACTGAACTTTGTACCTTCTTCTGTCAAGATTTCTATTCATAGTTAAATTGTTCCTTAATCTGATACACAGAATAATAAAAAGAAAATTCTGGTCATATAATTTCATCACTTTCGAAGTATTAAAAGACAGATTTGGCCAATAAAAAGAAAGACAATTCTCCACTACAATATCCTTGTACAGTGTTGTCAAACATACACAAAGACAGCAACATGATAAGAAAAGATATTATCAGTCCCAAGTAAGTTAATCACTGAGACAATAACCACAAGAAATATGGCAGATGTGGATATCAACAGTGACTAATGCACAATCTGACAGCTGTTAACTGTGTTAATATACACAGAACAATTTGAGACAAAGTTTGAGTAAAAAACATCTAAATGCCTAAACACATAGTGATGTTGTATGCCATATTTTTTTCCATCCAATCTTGTCTCTAGCAAGCATAAAATCATTGATACCAAAATCTTCACAACTATTACGATTTAAAATACAAAGCATAAATTTATTACAAATCATGATAACTTTTCCAGGCTCATACATTATACATTATATACAACCTGTTACATTTCATAAACATGGAATTTTCATTCCCCCTACCATTCATTGTAGGATTACAAAATCCATCTGCATGTACTTCAACATACAGGATACCAACATAAAATTTTTTTTAAATAAAAACAGTTCTATCATACGAAGTGCAAAAGTATGTATTGCCATATGTGAAAGTTTCAACATCTTGACATTTTTTCAAAGATGATAAACTCTACTTGTACATACAATTGTCTTTATTTCCTACCAAAAGCTTGTTCATTTACAAGTGAGTGTTTCCATATTCAGATTCTTAAAATGCTTAGTGCAGTTACAAATGTATTGCAAATCTGTAAATAGGTTGGTGGACGTTTTAAGAGACAAACTAATAAAGCATTGAAGAAACTGAATCATTTTTACAAAAAATAACGATTGACTATGCCTTCTCATGATTAGGTAAAATGTCTGATATACTTTATTGATACAAATATCGCAAATAAAAAATCTACATTTTATATATAGTAACTAAACACCTAAATCAAATGTTACTGTAAATCCGGTTTATTGCACTAAAATATCTGTCTACATACTAATTATATATTTTCTCAAAGGAAAAAACAATGTGGACTCCAAATGTCACATAGAGATACCATCTCTGCAGACTTGGAAAAACATTGGCTATTTTATGCCTAGAAAAACAGAATATGTCAGATTGAAGATAATATTTTGTTTCAAAGCATGGTTTAATTTCAATTATTGTAAGTTAAGTCTGTACAATACAGAAAATATGTACAATTTCTTCCTAATATCACATGTTTGGTTATGCTGAATTGATCTAATGATAGGGTAAGATTTTCAAGCTATAATACAGATTGAGTTTGTTTATCTATAATAGAAAACCGGCTTAACAACAACAAATGGAAATGAATAAATAGCAATAAAGACAAGCTCCATATATATTATTTCATATTTAACGGAATGAATTGTAAGACATTGTGATCAGTACTGCGAGTCAATATTGATCAGTGTGCTAGTAAATCCCTATATACACTTTAATTTGCTGGCTACACGATAGTGACATTGAAGTAATCTCATTAACATTTAATCTTTTTTTTTTTTTCATTTTGGTATTTGACTCTCGCCATACTTCATATAAAAATTCTGGTACATGAAACACTCACCACAACATAGTGCTGGATTTTTCTCTCCTCAAGTCCGTTTTGTTCATAAAAATAATGCCATATCCCAGTCTTTCTACTGTACAACCCACAACAGATATAAATCAGCTTAGCCAAAAAAATACAAAAAAACAGAAACAAATGCTTGTATTGCTTTTATACAATTTTGATAGACGTATGAATGTAGAATATGTTATCTGTAACTTTAGAAATCACTATACAAGTACTTCAGTTTCAGACTGACACTCTGTATCATCTTATTCTTATTGTCACCACTGGTGAGATTTTGTTACAGAAGATCAGTCTGTGACTGAGAAAATTGATCTCTCACACAAACAGGTGACAGATTGTATAACAACGCCATCAAATGTATTACTTATAGCTGAAATTCATTCCAATAAAGTTCTATTAGTATCATTTTTTCATTTTTAAGAGATTTCAGTTTTCAACAATGAACTTAAGTCGTCAAGGCAAACCGAACTATGGTGACAGCAGCATATTTTAACAGAATTATAACTTGTTTTTACAGCACACAATGGTTCACTTTGGTAGGTCCAGCATTAACTTACAGTACCAGGACATTAAAGACTACAATAACATGCCTAAGTGGTCAAGGCATTCTTTACACATGAAATGTACATATATGAAATAGATTGAAGAGTCTTTGAGAGATTATTTTCTCATCATGTATTTCTAATTTTGCCTGGAACATAATTCTTGTCAATGACTGGTTCTTGAAGAAACATGTGTAAACATCTCTCATTCTGGGCCAAGGGATGTCCAGCAACCCTGAAAAAAGAAAATGATATACTGATCAATAGGTTTTCACCATTACCAATCCATCAGAATCCAGTGGTGAAATTTAATGTTTCCTCATTTTGACCAACAAACATATATCACCCTGCTACTTTATCAACCTTTTATCTTCAGTAAAATTCATTTTTTTCAAGATCTAGTCTGTTGTCATATTGACAATGCCATTGACAATGTTCGTTAAAGCAATCAAATCACAGGAAAGAAAAAGGTAATATAGAAATTAATTCAATGTGTGGATGTGTTACCAAAAACATTAACATTAACTTTAACAAGACAACTCACTTGTTGACAAATTGTTCTAGTCCTTTTCGTCGATCTTCTATAAATTCATCCTCAAATATACCATCATCTCCTCGGAAGGGCAGCTGACGTTTCCATGCCTTCCCTGGCATGGGTGGTACCACAATCTGTTATAAAGTGGGATGTAGGATAAAAGTGTGCAAAGAGACAAAAACAAACTAATATGTAGAAGACCAGTGCTTAATAAAATGTTTATTCAAATATATATACTAACCTTTAAATCATCAATCAAATTAACAATATATCAGAAATATTGCAGCTTTAAGCTTGTTTTTCCAGCTCAAATGTATCTATCTGGGTTTAAGAAATAGGAGGAGGATTATTAAATGAAGTACTGTTTAAATTAAAAACAGACATACAAATACCCTCTATCCCGATCTACACTTATATTTGGGATAATTTAGTTGAACAAATCCTAATAATAATGAATTGAAACCTAAGGGAAGGCAAACTTTGAATGTTGAATTGACATCACTGCATGAGAATACCTTATCACATAGCTATTTACTAATTACCTTGCTGTCTCGCTCCAACTCATTCCGCAACCATTCAAAATCACTGTACCGTCGACGAACACTAGACTCCTTCACCTTGAAAACTGGTAAGTTTGTCTGTAAAATTTAGATTGAAAAACATGTATTTTTACAACACAAGTTTTTAAGACATCATTCCTTGCTTTTATCCATATAATTAGTATGCTTATATTTACAGACACTATTGTATTTTCGAAGAACATATCAATTTCATGGACATTTGATTTCATGCACAAATATAGTTCAATAAACGTCCTCACACTAATTATAACAGTCCATGGATTAATGAATTTCTGGACACAAGTATCAATAAAATCAATGAAAATAAATACCTCTTCAAAATGATTTATTTCAAAGCAGATATTGACTTTTAAAGTGAATTTTGGAAGAAAAAAGAATTGCAGATAAACATTCATAATGGTAGTAAATATTACAGAATGAGTTTAACATCAACTCATCAGCATGGGTTGAAAATATCCCATCATCATATAAACACTTTGTACTAGTCACAGGTGGCTCTGTTCAGCTGATCTTTCAACATCTTACCTTGACAAGCAAATGCTTTTTAAGAATGATTACTACTGCATAATGAAATGACAATTAAAAAAAGTTCCCTTGCACAGATCTTATGAGTAACTTGAGCTTATGGTATTCCCCAGATAAACCCAGTGACTTTTAGGACACAGATATACCAGTCTTATGCCTTATACTTTTTCCCAAATCTTTGAAACTGACTTGATCTCAAAGTAATCATGCTGGGGAAAAATGTGATGAAAATAATTGCAGACCTCTGATATATGGTACCTAAGCCATGTTTCATGACATATATGACAAAATATTTTGCCAAGGACATAAGGACTGGCTAAATGTTTGTTTATTAATCATGTATGTGCTGTTATGTGTCCATAAGGTTGTTATGTTCCAGTGGTCCTGAGAGAGTGATGTCAGAATTAATCCTATACTTTGTTTTTGCTCTTATTATTTTTGGAAATTTGAAAAAAGTAGTGATAATAATCTTTGACTGGCAAATTCAAGATGGCTGCATGACAGCAATTTTGTTTTTCTGAAACAATCTCAATATCAAAAGGGCACAAATACATAGGGATCAAAGGGAACCTATATACGAGAGTAATATATGCAGGATTTTGGACCAGCGAGTTCTGAACTCCCTGTTGTTCCCAGAGAAAATCAGCAGGTCCCAGGCAAAATCAGTGAGCTCTAGTTTCACACACAATACTTGCACCCATTCAAACCAACACGTTCACTAAAATATCCACCAAAATATGGTAATTCATATATATGTATAGATGTTTTTTTATATGTGGTATACATTGGATTTATACTAAAATAAGTGTTTTTTTGACAAGGAATATAAATCCATCTTCTTTACTCTGATAATTTTTTTATTCTTATTTTTGCTTTTGAATTAACAGTCATTTTCTGATGGTACATGGCTCAGGCCTGGTTGATTGTGTTGTAAATGTGAGTGAAATTTAATTATCAGTTTCATAACCACAACATTTTATAATCGTGTAGTCATTGGTGTCTTCCCTCTCAAGTAAAAGCAATGATTAAGCTTACAAACTTAATTTTGTAAATAAGAATTTCAACAATATCAATAGAAAATACAGATAAGAGGTGAAAGATGCTGTTTCCAATGTTAATTATCAACAAAATTGAATGAAAATAAAAAAAGAACTAATGCAATTTGTGATGTACAAAACAAAAACAACACCTCAAACATGTATGCAGACACGTTCTATATAGAAATGGAGCCACCAGATGGATTTCAGCAATTACAAGATGTATAATTTTGCATTCTCAAAATTGCTAACCTACATGAAATCTAACAAGAATGCAACAAGCCTTTCCCAAGAAATAGCAACAACAAACACTTATTGTCAAAATTCAAGATGGTCATCTTTCAGCAGTTTTGTTTGGCTGATTAAGAGGCACAAGTAAGGATCTAACAACATATATCATTTGTATGAAATTTGATCCATCTGACACTCAGTAAGAAATCAAGTTAACAATTTTTCATAGCAAGCCAACATCCAAGATGGCCACCTGTCAGCCAATCCGTCCTTCTTAAATTCCAAGAGGGCCGCCAGTGAGCCATTTTGTATTTCTGGATAGTCCAAAAATAAAAAGGGCACAACTTGGGACCAAAGGCAAATTTTGTGAAACATACGTCCAGTGTTTCTCCAGAAATAGCAATAATCTTAATCGTGATCTTTATATAGTCCATTGGTTTATGGCAGCTGTCATAATGAACACGAAAAACGCATTGTGAACAGATATATACACATATAAACGTACACAACGGCATTAATAACAATCATAAGTAACCAATTCTTCAACTGTCAATATCACACACTAATGAGCATGAAGCGAAATGGTCGCATTTCACAATATCATAATTTTAGTCAATGTCAATAAATTTCACACAAAACGAATAAACACTTCCAACTTTTAATACTAAAAGAACCAAAAGAAGACAGATCATGGGGGTAAACTATGATAATGCAGATAACACGAGACCGTTCTATTTTTTACGAAAAAACAAAGCAATCGAAGCTTCCGGATTTCTGACTTCGCATATTCAACTTACTCTCATACGGACTTCATAATCCGTATATCGCTTCTTTTCCACGCCATGTGTTTGAGGGTCTAGAATATCTATCTCCAGAAAATTCGCTGGAGGAGAATATGCGTCTTCCAATGTCTGTTTTTTAGTAGTAATACGGGCTGTCGCTGGCTGGGCAGTCATTTCGCTGCAACTCCTACAGCACTTATATCGATGACATCACCAGTACTTGTGTATATGTTAAAAACAAATTCTGTAACAGAGTGACTGAAAATTATGTCCGGAAAAAAATAAATAGACATCAGAAAATGATTATATATACAATATATTACATATTTTTTAATGTAAAGTTATAATATCTAAAAAACAGATATTTTATTTCTGTTTCTAAGTTTTTGTTTTTCGTCTTTTCAGTGTTATTACCTGAATGATATGCCGTTATCGCGAGGCGTGAAAAATATCAACGAACGTCGTGAACTGCTGATGTTCACGAATAACGTGCCCACGAAAGTCAAATGACATGAAGGACAGTTCGTGCTCTCGAAATGAATGGTCACAGGTTTTTTTTGACTGGAACACGACGCGCTTGTGAAGGATTTCACAAGAAATGTTGTTTATCTCCCCACACAGGAGGTAAACTTTGATATGCTGCTCACCTTAATGACAAATATGACTACAGTCGCACAATGATCACGTACTGGCAGTGCTCTGATCAGATCATAACTATCTATCCGTGATTTTATTTTGTCTTGGTTGCTGACCAAGAACCATTCGGGTTATGTATATTTATTGTCATTGATCTAATACGATTCTGTGTAGACTTCTCCTGTATTCATATTCGGCAATGCTTATATTGTAATCATTTTATTGGGGGACCAATCTCTTGAGCAGCATCGGGTTATGTAACTGCAGTTAGGCCAAATTGTATCATCGATCATGGCGATATGATATTGTTGAAAATCTGTTTCAGAGCAAATTAAAAGATTTGTGCAGATTAAGCCCAGACAGCTGTGTATTTCAGTTTGTATTTTAATTAGAACATTAAACCAGACACGTATAGAACACATATATATATTCTCTGATTAAACCATTCAATATTATGTAATTAAAACCTATTAAGTCAAAGAGTTTGATTGTGTTTAAGTTGTTGCAAGAAGAGCACATCAAGCTACTGGAAAAACTGAATCATCTGTCAATGACCATGAAAGGAAAGAGTTACAAGGTTCTCCAGATGGACCAATGTCAATATACAGGGAGCAAATTGCAAGCAGAAAACTTAGATATGACCAATATCAAGTCAGCATTGTCCAAAACCTTGAGGATCTTCATACCACCCTAGAGGGTTATGTGCCACAGTCTGAAGGATGGTTTTCAAAGGTAGAAGGAACTGTACCATCTGAGGCAGTTTACTATAATCATTTTACTTTGTAAAGATACAGTAATACTCTGCAATGTCCTACAATTCTACCTTGTTGCAGGGATTGTCTACATAGGTACAGTGTATATACAATTATACGGAGAGTTATGTCCCCTTTCCTACTTCGTCTCCACAATTAATTAAAATCATATTCTATGTAGCTCTGTCATTAGACATAGCATTAGCCCTTCTAGTAACTCTTGCCCCTTATTTTGCGTAATCTGAGGTATTGTCTACAAAGTCCAGAGTCTTGTACCACACTAGAGAGTTAGCTCCCCTCTCCTACACTGCCTGAAGAATCGTGTACAAAGGAACATTGAATGTACCAGTCAGATTTCATACCTTGTCAAGTTCAACATGTACACCTAACCTGATTTTAGTCTACATATAAAGTGTACGGGCATTTGTGTCTTGTGTAATGAATGATAAGTTTATTGGTGAAAAATCGTGTACTTCTGATAAAATCATATTATGATTAATATTTTAGTTGATCTTAGGTGAAATATTTTTTTGCATACAACAGACAATACTTAATGATTAAAGACATAACACTGGGATATTGGGATATTTAGAGTTTACAGTTGTAGATTATAATTTAATTTCATTACAGTAAGTTTGAATTCAAATGCAATGTGAACTTTTATTTTTAATTCTCAGATGTTCTTAAAGAATGAAAAAGACAAAGAAAATCATCCCAAAGGCTTATATCTTCATGGAAAAGTAGGTAAGGAATTATACTTATTTCCATAGCTGCAGATTAGTACTTTTGTTTGTAAATTGTATGTATATATGAACATATCTTCAGTAAAATGTGTATTCATTTAAAATTAAATCATCGGTTATATTAAATCATCTTTATGGGTAATGTGTAGTCATCTCACATATTTGTAATGTTTTATAGGTACAGGGAAAACAATGCTGATGGATCTCTTTCATGACCAAAGTCGAGTAAAGAAGAAAAAGCGTGTCCATTTCCACAAATTCATGTTAGATGTTCATAAACGTAAGACAACTGTTAAACAGCATATATCTATGACCAATGATCACTTGTGGGGATACACTGTTACATACTGCTGCTATGTTTATCAACTGATAACTATAGTTACAGTGATGAGATCTCTATTACCAGGTACATGTAAGGCAGGTTTATAGATTGGTAGCAATATAGATACTGATCTTCCATTTAATCATGGCTGTTATTCTAAACATGGTGAAAAGGAGGAGGGGGTGGGGATCTTCTTTTTTTCATCCTATTACCTCATTAACACAATACGAAAAATCACAACCCTCTTTTATATAGCCCAATAAACCTCTTCTATAGTAATAAGATCTTTTTCCTTTTTTTTTCATTTAAAGATGTTCTTACCAAGTTTCAAGGGTACAGGGGTTAAATGCACCACGATCATTACATATTTTCTTCTAAACATTCAGTATATCCTGAAAAGTATCTGTTGAGAGACATGTGTAAATTTTACCACAATATCACTTTTTGTGTGTTCTGAAATGAAGATATTAACATTCTAGGAATCCATGCTATAAAACAGACAATACCTCGTCAGTACAATGTACAAAAGATTGAGCCGTTTGATCCTATACCGCCAGTAGCCAAGGAAATCAGTGACGAAACATGGCTGCTCTGCTTTGATGAGTTTCAGGTGATTTTCACAACATGCTTTCTACTGTTCTAAAAGTTCACTGCAACTTAAATTAGGCTTATCTTCCTTCTGTCCATTTGTTTTTAAACAATGCATGGGATGTGTTCTTTAACAAACTTCATTATAAATGTGAGCAATGGATTTGTATTGTTTGCAATGCCTTGATGTTTGCTTCAGAACACTACTTCTTCATACTTCAATGGATTTAATTCAAATTTTGTCTGAAATATCATAAGAGATGGGCAATTAATTCTTTGATTTATAAAGTTGATTCAACCATCAGGGACTTTGGAGCAGTGCCCAAAAAGGGGAAGTTAGGGAGTATTTTGGAGTTTAATTTTTAAGGGAAAGAATCAGATGGTGTGTTGCTATTTTTCAGACTATTCAAAGCTTCTCAACATGATAACCACAGTAGCCATTTTGAAAAATGATTGCACAATTGTTTATCATGTACAAAACCCATTTATTAGTTTCTTATACTTTTAAGGAATGTTCAATATTTAAATTCATCAGACTTTTAGAGCACTGTCACCAGATTGTGTGTTCTGTCAATCCATCCTTAGTTTTTTAGATTATGGCTCAGGACTGTGTCCCTCTGGTTTTTACAGGTGACTGATATTGCTGATGCAATGATTCTGAAGCGACTTTTCAGTGAACTTTTTAAAAATGGAATTGTTGTGGTGGCCACCTCCAACAGACCACCAGATGGTAAGAAACCTCGTTTGATTGATGACACTGATCTAGATAGTACATTCAAAGATATTTTTTTGTTGATTATTTTGTAAGCTAATAGTTTTTTTAAATGGATAATCTGTAAAACATTTAGCCAAAATGCTTGTAAATCTATCAAGAATTATCAAAATGTTTTGCATAAACAATAAATAAGGGAAAACGTTTTTGATTGCATTAGATTAAAAGCTGTTTGAATTCGTTTCATATGTTAAATATATTATTTATAGTGAGAACTTCAACTTGAAAACCAATGACATTCTCAAAATCTGCCAAAATTAAGTATTGTTGACTGGATGTCAGATTTGGTTGTTGAAGCATTTATCCATTCTAAGAAACCTATACTTAAATACGTGTGTAATACCTGGGTACCTTCATTTACATAAAGGTAACACTTTTACTTTGATTCGTTCATGACCTCTACAAGCAAGATGCAGTAAGTTGTTAATTTGTCAGATCAAAATTTACTACACACCACATACCATTCCAGCAGTTCTGACTGGATTCTTAGTACCAGAACAAAAGTCATTATAGCTACATTTTTTTTCTCAGATCTCTACAAAAATGGTTTACAAAGAGGAACATTTCTACCATTCATTGGAATTTTAAAGGTGAATATAATTCTACTGTATATATTTCTGATTAAAGAAGTAAGTTTATGAGAAATTCACTTTACACAATATTGCTGCTCACTGACTGCCCTGCAGTTTGTTTCCTAAGACCTTCTGCTTATAGAAATGCTGATAAGATTTTAATGTCATCAACAGTTATTTTCTCAAACATGCTAGGTTGAGTATTAAATAGTCTGGACTAGGTACTGCAGAAAATATCTGTGATGTGAAAACTGCAAACAAGATGGAACTATGTAAAGAAATACTGTTGGAAACATCACAAACATGGCCCCTAAACAAAACAGAATTCATCCATAGCATGCAGGCATGCATAGTCTTGTACTTAAAGAATATACTCTGTAACTGAAATTGATTTTGATATTATTTAATCATAACAGAGCCACTGTAAAACTCTAAACCTGGACTCAGGCATAGACTACAGAATGACCATTGACCCAGCGGAAGGCAAGATTTACTTTTTGTAAGTATCATATTGCCAAAAATGGATGTAATGTGTAACTTTTTTTTAAATATATGATAAAAGAGCAACCTGTATCTTTGATACACTGGAAGGATTCTCAGCTTATGACATGAATTTACCCTATCGGTCTCTCAGTCTGGCAGTCAATTAAGTCTGTGTCTCACTTTATCCTAGAATATCATGTATTTTCTTCCATTAACAATTCCTAACTTTAGATACAAAGACTTCTTGCGATGGAAGTGTTGTATTTCAAATGATTTAACTACCTGGTATACACAGAGTTATGGTCCTTTGATAACCTTGTGTCACTTTGTTGTAACTCCTGTCTTGGGTACCTTGTGACCTTGGAAATAATGAAAGGCAAAATTTGGTGATATCGAAAATAATGAAAGGCAAAATTTTGAATGCAAATAGCTGATGTCATTACTCAGTGTTTCATGTACATATACAATTTAAATATGATCTCATGCCTCACAAAACTGGAGCAGTTGTTGCAGTGTAGTATTTAGAGCTATGGATTGTTAGAAATACATTAAACCAGTTAAATGAAATGTTATGGATGAACTAATCTGAAACTGAAGTGGAAGAATATTTTTCACCAATTCTTTTCCTTCCAAAACATGGACCAGACTCCATAGCTCTAGGAAACATCGGGCTGTTGAAAGCATTTATATTATAATGATATTAATTCAACTTACATGATATGGTCTCTTACATGAACTTTGTTAACAATTATTGCAGAACTTCAGACAGTAATGCTGACACAGAGCTAGACCACATATTTGATCATCTTCGTGCTGAAGAAAGCCAAGGTAACAATCAGAATGTACTGCTGTGAATATAGGTTTTCACTAAAGTGTTGATTCTGTTGTATTTGAATTCTGTTCCCTGTGTTAATCTATTGTTCACAGTGATCAATTAGTTACATTAGACAGGCTTTGTATTATAAGGTTGATATAAATTTTGACTTTTTGAAAATTTGTGTAATCTATTTACCGGTCATTGAACAAGGTTCCTAGTCTCCACGACATGTTTCAGACAAATATCTAATTGTAAATATGTCGAGATTAGTTACATTTATTTCATTATGCTTTGGTTGAAATATCTGTCATATTTTAATGTTTGTATGTATGTAAGTACATTAAAGTATGAAGATAAGTATCGGGTTGAAAAACATTGCAACTAATGAAAAAAGGCAAAGGAAATAAGTATATTTTAGCAACATGATGTTACATTTGTTTGATCTATTTGGGTCTCATCATTAACACTTACACATAGGTCAGCTTACTAAAGCTTTATTAATCAAATGTTCTTTAACCCAGAAGTAAACATAGTAAATAAGAAAAGATAGTTGTTAAACTCTTAATCACTCCAACATCATTCCATCATTTTATAAATTTTGATTGTGATATATGAACATGCTGCTTATTAAATATTATTTTTTCCAGATACTGGTCCAAAAGAGTTAATTGTCCTGGGACGGAAACTTCTGTTGCCAAAGACATGTGGAGGTTTACTGGACACTGATTTCCGCAGTATGTGTGAACAGGTGAGAAGACATCAGAGATCATGGCATCAGTATCTCACATGCTCATTTTACTTAGCAGTAAAGTTGTATAAAGCTACAAGAGAGGGCGGGTTGATCAGTACACATGTACAGTGTTAGTGATTTAATTTCTCGTTTGTTCCAAAAATTCAAAAAAGAAAAAACGCATTAATCAAAATAACTTTTTTAAAAGATCCAGTTACTTTTGATCCTTTGGTCAATATTTTTCATAGAAATATTTGAAATCCAAAATTTTTATTTTTTTTTTTAACTTGTATTTAAAAATTGTGTTACAGCCTCTTGGAGCAGTTGACTACTTGGAAATAAGCCATAACTTTGACACTGTCATCATAAGGAACATACCAAGAATGTCACTTAGTCGCAAGTCAGAAGCTCGCAGGTTTATAACACTCATTGACACTCTCTATGATGGCAAGGTATGTTTTACACTTTTCACTGGTAACCATAGAGACGCAACAATTCTCAATTGAAACAACTTTGTTCAGCTCTATTCATCTAATATTGCATGAAAATATTTGATGTCTTATATGGAGAATATGTAACTTCTAACCAGATGAAAATAACTGTTTGGTATTTTTCAGCAATCTAAAGTGAGAAGTATGAGTTCTTGTATGTAGTTTACTTCTTAAATCGTTTAAAAGTGGTAAAGGCAAATTTTGGTAACATCAAATAGTGAGTGAATTACATGTCTACAGGTCAGGTCCGCTCTGTCTGCCTCTATTATTGGTTGAATTACTAGCAATTTTATTTTAACCTGTTGCAGGTAAGGGTGGTATGCTCTGCAGAAGAGGAACCAAAAGAACTGTTTGGAAGTGGAAACATCAGTAAACGAGATGAGGAGTCTAACAGCATGTTAATGGATGACTTGGGTATTTTACAGGTTAGTCTTTGTAGTTGGATAACATTTTGGGAAAGGGGATTTGGCAATAGGTGGAGATGGGGTGGGTAGGGGGGCAAAGGGCCACTGGGAGGGGGCATTACCCTTTAGATGTCAGTCTCAGTTTTATATAATGTATAAGGTGTGTATAATATATACTAGTGGCCAGTTTGAGTTGTTGGTTCTGGAGTTAATTTATATTTAATTCTGCCATTTTTTTGTTTTTTTTTTGTTTTTGTTTAAGAAAATATATACACAATCTTGTACTCTTATATGACAGACTTACTAATTTACAAACCCTCAAACTTTGCTATCTTCTCAAGTGGGATTTGTATCCAATTTGAATGAAACAAAGATTTCTTACATGAATTTAATTTTATTATGTTAATAATGGTTAGCCATATTTTTCCTGAATGTATCTGCTCTTTAAAATGGCAGGAAAAGTTTTCACAACTGTTACTGTAGGTCTAAACTGGGATAAAACAAGACTAAAAACTTTGATATAAACTGTCTTTCCATGTACAGTATTTTTGGGAAATAGGATTCACATAAATTAATAGAAATTTTTCAGCATTTCATGTTTTAAATTGTGATTACCAAGGCTGTTTTCATTTACCAGTTTGACGAGGGTTGTTCATTTATGAAATAAAGGTGAACCTACTGATGTTCTTTTGCTTTCTTTAGAGCTTTAACCAAGCCTTTTGAGGCCTGTTTGAATATTTGCAGATCTTTTGTGATTTTTGCCTGAAATGAGCAAACTGGTTTGCATAAATGAGCAGGCCCCAAAGAGGTGGTCAAACTGAACCCACAGAAGCATCTCGAGTGAAATAGGATTTGTGTTTAGTCTGATTGTTTGAGATTACAAAGTTTGACAGCACTATATAGATATCAGATTTAAAATTTTGTTTTTAATGTTGTTTGTTTCAGAGATCTGGGGTTGGTGACGCCAAGGCCAGTATATTTACAGGAGAGGAGGAACTGTTTGCTTTTGAGAGAACTGTGTCACGCTTGACAGAAATGCAGACTTTAGAATACTGGAATGAACGCAAACCCAATAGATTGTATCAACCTAGCAAATCACAGAAAGAAACTGTTAGTTATGTATGACACAGACTGGATGTTTAGGTATCTTAAGAAATACGTGTATTTGTTAAACATTATTTGTTAATTTATATCTTAAGTCATTTTGATACAGATGTACTGGTGCAATGGAAATCTTTTAATGTCCTGTAAGAAAAATTGTTTAAGCCATAGGTTATGGAAATCAGGAACACTGACCTTTTTCAAAACGATACAATTTTTTTTATATATATAGTTTGAAAAGTAAAAGATATATAAAAACAAAATGATCATAACATAAAAAAACTTTCCACCAACATTGTATTTACATTATCAACTTCTTCAGATCTGAATTACTAGTACTAGTGATACCTGTTACTATCACAGAACACCTGCTAATTAAAAAGTTTCCCTATGTCTTTCAAGTCTGTTTTGTGTCTTCTAACTTCCTTGAGTGGTTACATTTATATCTTCAGAGTCAGTGTTTTGATGCTTTGGTGTATAGGTAATATATATTAGGAGCCCTATGAGCTAGACAATGTTGCTTTGGTTTCGTACTAAAATCAGAAAAAAAACAACCTGACCTCCATTACAGTATATATGGTTCCATCATATTCAGTACTAGAGCTTATCCCATCTCTCATTCTTATGCATATTAAACCCAAAACAGCTGAAGGGGTCAAATGTGTCCAGGGTGCTTGTAGCATTTCCAGAGAAAAGGACTACCAAGTTTCTTCAAACAAATTACCATTATTCACTTCAAGGTCATAGGGTTAAATGTTAAATATTGGAATATTGGTTCTGTAACATACTTTGATGAAGGACTGCTGAATTTCTTCAATGTCTGACCTTAACTCACTTCCAAGATCTCAAGGGTCAAACTTAGAATTTGTTCTTCCAACAAACAACTAGTCAATTTCAGAACATGAAAGATTAACAATATCTATAGGTGCTTCTGCGTAAGCAGTTGAAACAAATGGATTGGTTGACTCTGTAAGAAAAAACCAGGTACAGATCAGGACCGAGGCTGGACTGCAGAATATTTGGCACATGCAGTTTGAGGGGTCCAACCGTACCTGTTTGAAACTAACTTGCTGAATATCATTAGTTTTCAGAATTGCAGCATAAAAAGTAGAGTCAGTGCACTTACTATTTCTGGGAGCATTGTGCTATAAGGTATAAGTAAAACAGGTGGAATCTGACTTTAGTTAATTGACATATGCTTGATGGGAAATTTTAAAATTTGTGAATTTTGAACTTAACATATATTAGGTCCAACACCTGGCACATAAGTGTTCATGTATAGTGGAATAATTTCAGACTACCTGAAACGTTCCAACCAGGTTAAGCTAATGTGTCCATAATGTGAACATAAATCTCTGTCACATCTAAGTAATGGATTATGACCGCAAAAACCTCATGTTGATATCAAATTTGTTGATATTCATATCAAACTACCTAATAGAAATTTTCCAATCAATCACGAGGACGACTGTAAAACTTCATCTTAAAAGCTTCAATATCTTTTCAAACCTTATGTTGCAAGTTTTTTCTGTCAGTGGTCAACATCTACCAAGAAAAACAGTGTATTTAAACTGGGAGCAATCATTTATATAGCTGTGTAATAGTCATAGTTTCATGATATAAAAATCATAACAAGTCTTCACTATTGTTACTGTAAAGAATGAAATTTTGTGTTTCAAGATATAGAAAATATATGCAAGTGAAACTTACAATTTGCTTCAATAAATAGTGTGTTATTGATGTAACCTGAAATGTTTCGATCATAATTGCATGAGAATGTATAAACTGATGTCAGGAAAAGGGTTGTTCTTTTTTTATATTAATATTTTGTTCCATTTTTGTACCAACTTTTAAGATGTTCCTTAATGGTGAGGGGAAGTCTTAAGAAATAATTTTCCAGATTTTACAAGATGTAATGTTGCTCTATGATAGTTTGGAAGATTTTGAAGTCCTTTTCATTTCTAGCCAGTGTTTTAATTATTAAATGATATACCAATATCGTCAATGTTAAGTGCTGTATTTGCACAATTGTCCATTATCCTTATTTTGATCATAATAGTGTTTAAAATTTGTCATGGTGATGTAGTTTATTTTAGCTATGTTGGTTAGTTAAGATTTTGGAACCTTTGCTCCATAAGCCAGGGTTTTTAAAGAGGCCAAATTATGCAAAAGTAGGATACACTGTATGTGATAGCCATATATATTTTACTTTGTCACAAGATGGATATTTTTACTCCTTGTTATATTTACATATGCATGAAAGAGTGATGATGTAGTACAGTCACAGATACACTGTGTTTGGATTAAATCAACTTTTACAAAATATCTTCAGATTGTGGTATTATTTACTAAATCTCTGTGTAATGGAAGGAAAACTATTTTAAACCTTAACATTTGTTTTTCTTATTGGGCCCAGTCTTAACGTGGGCCAAGTCTCCAGATGTACTAAATAAAGATATTTTCAACCAAAGATTTTCTGAACCAAATTTGTCCAAAGTTTTCTTATTTGAAAAGCAGGAATTAAAGTCTACTGGGGTTTAGACCCTTAGTTTACACAAAATTTGAAACCCCCTGACCTTCACCCATTGCCAAATGTTCAAATTTTGTGTCAGAATATAAACATACAAGGACTATCCACCTTTCAAAGAAAAACAAGTTGACAGGTGAACTAAAATGAATTACACTGCAGATATGTTACTTCACAAGAGTTGAGTTATATAATGTCAGGTAATTCCATAAATATTTTCTAAGCTTATTTCTTAAGTTCACCAAAAATAGGATTCAGTGAATTCTTCTATATTTTCAATAGATATTAAGCTACTTGTATTTTGGAATACTAAAACATTATATGTATGATCCTGTCCTCTCCAAGAAGTGAACAAAGACATCCTGTTGGTTTTACTGCATTCTGAAGTAGACAATTTTCTATGGCATCTATACAGTGATTACCTCCATTTTTGGTCAGCTGTACTGACAAGTCTTTATATAGTATTCATGAGTGACACTTAAGGTTGCGAGATGCTTAGATTCCAATGATTATCACCAAAATAATCAGTTCTAATATTCAACAAAAAGACTAACAAATTGCACTTAGTTGGCATTTTTTAATCAAATGTTAAATACTTCCATCTCAGATTATAAAATAACTGAAATAACACAATTCTGACTTTTCCAAATACAAGTTAACAACATAACTTCCATGTAACTACTAATTCTATGGCTACCACATTTCCCATTATGAAAATGTCTTCATGTATTGGCCTTTAAAATAAAATATAATAATTTAACTAAATGGTGGCAATGAAAGTAGTTCTAACAATACATTATTAGTTTTCAAAAATTCTACTCCGCTGTGAAATACACAACAGTTGTGGACCTTCACCACAAATGTATTAACCATTTGCTATCTGGCTTGAAAATGAAAGTGAAAATGTTATGTGAAAACCTAAAACAAAAATATCATTTGAAATGATGTAAACTGTATTTCTGAATTTGAATCATTTCAAGCTATTATCTGAGTCTTTAACACAATGCAATTCATTGATGGATTGTAAATTGTACTACAGGTATATGAGAAAAGAAGTTACAATTTACATTACCGTACTGATCATTACTTGAAGAAGTGATTACTACACACATCATTTAAAAATGTAGCATGTTGTTCACATTTATTTACCCATCCAAATTTTTTTAGGTCTTTGTTTTTCATCCAATACAAAGTCGTGCTACAAATGCATTTCAACATTTCTGTGGAAGTTTTACACCAACAACTTTGATAGTTGATATTGCTGACAGATATACCTGGAGTATAAGATACATTGTCTAAATTCTGGTTATAATCAGATGTGCACCATATATATACTTAAACAAAACCTGAGAATATGCTTCAAATATATTTCAATTGCCAGATTTGAAACCAAAACAGCAGATTTGTCTGTAAAACATATGGTACAAACAGAGTGAACATAACAAAAGTAATCCATGGAATACTGTATACTTCTATTTGTTAGTAAATATACACATACATACTCAAGGAAACATTCAAATTGTCCAATTTCACCAGGTGTTATATTAGCTCCAAAATGAATTAAATTGATTTTCAAATTGAACATTAAGCCCAGCTTTAATTTGTCTTATTTTCAAAAGAGCAAAAATGACTGAAAATTAAACTACAGTGGAATTTTTCTGTAGACAAAAATGCATAATGATCACAAACAACTACAGCAATGTTATCCTAACCTTCTGTAAACTTAATTCTATCTAAATTCCAAAATTTTCCACACACCTACATAACAGCCCTGTTTTCCTTGTACAAAGTATCAGATGGTTTACAATAAATACATGTATTTTCAACAGTGTTCATTGAAAAGAACAAATTCAAAAAATAAATCTTGAACAAGGAGGAAAGAACAAGTAAATACCACACAACAAACACTATTCAACACACCTAGCACTGGTAAAAATTAAAAAGACATCTAACTTTTGTGTGAGATAAATTAACAGATGGGTTTACATGGAATGTTTTATAATTAATCCATGGTATGTATGTTAACCTAGGGACAAGGACAATAATTAATCTTGTAAAATTCTCTATGCTGTTGAGATATCTTTCAGTTAGTTCATTTTCTCTCTTGATATCTTTCACCACCTTGATGGTGAGATTGAGGGATCTCATCACGAGGGGAAAGATGATTTGGATGGCAAAGATTGAGCTTGCTGAGTATTAGCAATTTAATATTCCTTCCCCCAGGGTTAAGATACCTCTTCCTCACCAACAAAGGGTGAATGATTACTTTTCTCTTCCTCTGCTGGCCTGCTAAGGTATGTGATTCATTGCCCCAATGCTTTGCATTGTTGACATGATGTTAAACATACATTACCAATTTTATATGCTAAATTTTAATGCTAAATCTTTAACGTTAACACCTGTTATGGGTAAGAGAATAATATCATTATCATGTCATTCGACATCTATGAACATTTTTACATAATAATCTCTTATATACCTATTAACAAAGTAAATTGTATCTTTACATATCTCTCTAAATCTATAAAACTCATTCATATGAAATGAAAAATTTAATATAACTATGTGCCTTTTGTTTGTAATCTCGTCATAATTTATTAAATGCATGAAAGGATAAAAAACTTTAAAATATGAATCACTAATGCCATTTGTTCTGTTGGCACCATAAGCTGGAAAAATTTTAAGGCAGTGGCCATGCATATGAGGTATTTTCATCCCAAGCACAGGCAATTAGAATACCACTGTCAGAAAATAAATCAGAAAGAAATCTGAATATTGAGTAGAGAACTTTCCACATCTTGATATTGGAAAACAAGGAGCTGAATATAACATCTCAGTTAAATTATATATCTAAATACTTGAAATAATCTTTTGGGGTTCACTCCCTATGACTGAATACACACATAAATCCCAAACACCCACATACCATCATACAAACAATTCCCTAATTTAAAAAAGGTCCCCATACACACAGAAATGTAATCCCCATTACACAATGCCCCTACCATGTAGCGTTTACAGACTTTGATAAAAATTGACCCAAACACACATGCTTCCAAATAAACATGTCTTCAATATACAGTCTTCTACTATTTCTCAATACAGACAGTCCCCAACCCAGTACACACAACCTTCAATACACAGTCCCCACCAAGTATACACATCCACAATCCCCATTTCTCAATATGCCGTCTCAAATGCATAAACCTCTTTCAAGTATATACTTTCACAACTTGTTAATGCTCTGGCTAATTTATACAGATTTCAATCCATTTAAAATTAAGATACTGAGATAATGCACTTCAGAGATTCTTTATAAACTCAAAATAAATGTTCTGGAAAACCACAAAAATAAACACAAAAGTGACAAACTAGGGTAAAAATGACCATTTGAAAGGGGAAGAGAGAATAAACACCCAGAAGGTAAATATTTACAAAATTTTAACTTTAATATCTCCTTCCCTACCTAAATGATCTTACCCAGCAGTGTGCCATATAGCCTTGCAGTGTAACTTATTGCTCAGTAATTTACCAAATCTCATTCACTGTGAACAGATGTGATACCATCTTACAGTATACCAGCACCTGAACTCTAATTATTCATCTCAAATCATAAAAATAGATGTTTAACATGACACTGCTTGATGTGGGCATTTAATAGTTGCATTTGTGTTATGATCACATACTTCAACAAAGTTATTACGCAATCAATTTCACGAAATTCACATTGTTGGCCAATGGATGTACAATATACAAAATTTACCTGCATCATCTTAACTATTATGATGTCACTTAAATAATTGCCCAAAATTAAAACTACAAATTACTTTCTCCATAATCATGTACTTGAAATAAGAGCAGACAAATCTATTGTCCATGAACTATGATGTTGTATGATCAGGATTCCAATACATCTAGCAAGAAATGTTTATACACAGTACAAGATCATTTACTTCCTATGAAAAAATCATACGAAAATGATAAGTACCGGCGTATCTTTTAAAATCACTCTCATAGTTAAAACAAACATCAGCATGGCTGAAAATTAATATAGTAGTGCTATAATTAAAGTATTTTTTCCTAAATCTAATTTAAATGCAACTTGAGATATGTTTTTAGTAACACAAACATACATGTATATCATACAGCAGATATTGATAACAATAACAGCATGATGTATCACATCGATAAACAACGGAGAAAATGTATACAGAAAATGTTTTAAAATTATTTATGCAGTCTTACATAATGTTTGTGCTCCATAACTAACCTGAAACTCTTCATTCAATTGTAAAACACAACATGTCTTTGTAACTAAATCAGCTCAGTTCTGTTGTCATAATTATACATATATACGTTAGAGACAATATCACTGAGCAGGCAGGCTATTGTAACAATTTTACCAATATTAACAGCCACACAATACCAGCATTTATTCCATTGTAAAGCATATAGATATGCTGTTGACTACATTTGTACCTATTCTGTTGGCTTAAGTAGAGATGCTTGGTACTTGTCTCTATCCTCTGGGGACTTAATATAACTGTAAACAAAGCAAAGAAAGAGTTCAGACAAAAGACAAAGGCCTACTAACATCCAAGACATGCAAACAGCAGCAAGCATCTTTTTAAGTCCAAATATTTTATTCATGCCTCTCATTATCAAGTCTATCACAGCTATATGGCTTGCCAGTGTTTGGGAAACCTAGGGTTCAATTCCTCAAACTGTGTCCTGATACAGTATAGGGCACTTGCAGTAGTGCTAATGTACAATGCAATAGAAAGCCTGCAAACACTTATCTGTACACTATGACACATATTAGTAGTATCCTGCATTATTGCACAACTACAACATATGTATACACTCGACACACTTCTGCAATTTGTATGGAGATACAAAAACAAATGGAAGACTTATATGACAATGACAGAATGGAGATCATATCAATAGAGATTTCATCTGGGGCTGGATAGTTATAATCACAACAAAAATGGACTCTACCATTAGTCTGTCTGGCATTGAAACATTGTAAACTTTTGCGAGTAATGTACCAGAACTCTTATGATGATTAGACTGTAGATAAACATAGGTGTTCATTATACTTACTAATAATGTGTAAATCGCATTAACTGCACCAACTGTGTTGTTTCATTTGTTGCATGACAGGCAAACAGTAGCATGTTTCTTGGCTGTACTTTCCAGGCAAACCTCATAAACAACATGGAATATATACATAGGGCTGAAAAAAAGTAAAAAACACTTGTCAACATTTAATTACATTTCATACTTTAAATATTTCCCGATAAGAAAATTAATATTTCAATACCAGGATTTGGGATCAGCATCTATCTTTAAGGTCAATTATATTTTTTGATACTAAATAAGCCCTTAATTTGACCTAATACTAAAAGTAACACATCCATTGTTTCATAACTGATGGTATATTTTAGGATAAACTCTGCCCTATCATTTAGCTACTAGCCAATAAAAAGTGTATTGTTTCTTATTTTAGCTTTTGGAAATACATTTCAAAGCTCTCGTGAGAAATTAGAGAGAGAGTGAACAAGACTGAGCCTAGGGTACAAAAGAGGGTGTTGGCCTTTGTACAGATGACCCATATGGACTACACCAATTTTAAAGAACTGTATGGCCACATCTTCATTATCAATCATATAACACCATCCCATCCCCTCAAACAAGCCTACCTAAATGAAAGCAGCACTGATACATGCTAAATATATCATCAACAGCATGGAACTGCTTTAAAAGCAAGTTTCTATTTGTGTAAATCAGCTGTTCCTAAGTATATGTGTCAATTGTTTCATTGTGCTGTGCAGAGATGTCAAATATCACTGTGCACAGGCTGCCACATGTGTCTGGTATTCTGTGTACAGGTATCATGTACTCTGTGAACTGTGATACATGACAACTCAAGCTTTACAAGAGAACTTACCTGTAGTCATTTTACCACTGATCATTGTTGGGTCTTTTTTCAGGTCCAGCATAGCAGCTATTGGCAGGCCCCAGTTGGCAACTTAAAATAACATTATATTTTCATTTAAATACCTGACTGATTTGATGAAAAAATTGTTTCCCTCCCACATCCAATTAAAAATCTGTTGTGTGTTTCCCCTCTCATTTAACTATCCACTGTAAAGTTTTTGTTATCCTTCTCATTTACCTGTCAGCTATAAAATTGATGTTTCCGCGTTTATTTACTTATCCACCTGTAAGTTTTTACCCCTCTCATTTATCTATATAAACCAAAATGTTGCCTCCCCTTATGTGTAGATATTTATCTGTCCACCTTAAATTTGTAATTTTCTCTCACATTTACCTACCCAGTGTAAAACTGTAGTTTCCACTCTATCATGTACATTATATCCACATGAAAGTTGTTGTTTTCTCTCTCATCTATTCACTATAAAGTTGTTTCTTGTTCCTCCCTCTTTTACCTACCCACACTCGAACTGTTGTTGTTTCCCCTTTTATTTACAAACAAAGCAAAAACTGTTGTTTGTTTCTATCTCTCATTTACCTACTCACTAAAAACTGCCCCCCATCCCACCCCCACTCCCCTTCCAACCCCCTACCCCTTCTCTGTTTGACTTTGCCATTTTAAAGTTTATTTGTACTTTTGTTTCCGAACTTGACTTTTGTATGAGATGAATAGTAGTTTCCTCTTCTTTTATATGATAAAGATTTACAGAAAAACACCTTATTTCTCACTAGGCTTCTTCTATATTATACATACATGATGATTGCATATCTTTCCTTGTTACTTACCAGGCCCCCAAAAATGCTGCAACAAAACAGAAAAAGGTGGTCTGAATTATTTCATGAGGAAATTAATAACCAATGCAATAAGACATGATATGTACTTAGTCAATCGTGATCACAGTCACAAAACAAGGAATTTATGGATACAGACAGAAGATATACCTCATCACTGGGAACATGGTCTATCACAAGTTTCTGATCTTTTTTGAAAATTGCCCAACAAAACAACAACTCAAATTTGGTCATTCGTTTTATGTACAGACACATTAAAAAGTAAACTCTCAAGAGATCACAGCTATTTGCAAACAATTAATTTACCACAATTGTCCATGACTTACATGCATGCATAGGTTTGAAGAAAAATGTCTGCTCTCAATCATTTTCTGATTAATAATCATCATTATGGTCACACTGTTATAAAACACACCATTGTACATGTCACCAGCTGGTACATAAAATTTTGATTGAATGTTACAAACCCAATGCAGGGGTCACTAAAATTTTAAAACTCTAACTACTAACTGAGATATAAAACAAAGATCTATCATAAATAGAGAGTGAGGACCATTTCCACTAAAGCAACATTATTAATTTGTATACTTTTTACTTACTGTGCTGTTTGTTTTACATCACCATCATCAAAACAGGATATGAAATAAAAAACAAAAAAGATAAGTGGTCAAGAAAGAAATGTTATTTGTAAAATTGACATGTAAATGTCAGTGGATAGCTGACAACACTGGTATATTCAGTATATATATGCAGTGTACTACCACCATAAAACTGACAGGCATAGATTATTTACAAATCATATTTACATTCTGTTGGCAGAAAATGATCAATAGTAGTTTCAAAGAGAAAATAAAGCCAACTTTTGTCACTGAATTTCACTAGACAGTAAAAATTTAACACTTTAAAAAAGTTAATATTGATAAAGTTGTCAAGGTTACAGTAAAGGTTGTTTTGAATAATGGCATTAGTAAGAAGTTTGGTAACAGAATCTAACTATGTGTGGTGTGTGTAGAGTATAAAGAAACCGGGCATTTCATTGACATTACCATAACTTCATGTTAATATTGCTAGAAATATCAATCATTCGAAAAGAGCTTGATTTTGCTTTTACCAAGTCTGTTTTTCTATTGATACAAAAGGCACATTGCTTGTACGTTGGATCAACAATGCATTGTTTTAGCCGACAATCGTAATTTTAGAATCAGTTCATAGATACTCAGAAAACAGACACAAAAGAAGACATATAGCTGAGCTTCTAAGTATTTAATGAAATATTAGCTACTAAAATATCAATAACTCTACTTTCGTTTTACCGAAGATGACCATACTGTACTGAGAAAATGTAAGATCGGACATTAAAATCTGGAATTCTACATTACCTCATTAAGTATTTGCCCCATGTCATTCCAGCCATTGTGACAGTTTTAAAGATGTTGAAAAAACAGGGCAAAGTTGTCAACGCTGTGGGACGTTTATACAGCTGCAGTATCAGCACGAACGAGAAACTGGTCCGAAAATGACCTCTGCAAACGCGAGCCAGATACAGACTAAATAATCTCCAATCCAAAATGATAATATTTACAAATTCTCTTAGTTTAAAAATATTTCACATCAACAATATCTTATTCAACAGTAAAAGTACTAGTGACAAGTTTTTTTGTTAAACATCAAATACTGAAATAAAATATTTACTGTATCAAAATTAATTACCACCGCTTGAAGGCTAATGTACTAACGAAGAAAGATGGCGACACAACTGATGCCAAATCCTCCACTTACTGCTGCAGAAAGGGCCTGCCGATCAGTATTTGGTATTTAAGATTTCGTTACTTTCACCTTTTCAAATTATTGATTTTTTTATTTTTAATTTGATTGACATGAAATTGTGTCCATTATTGTTTTACATCGTATTAACTAACGAATAACATCCCCATAATTTCATAAAACCGGTCAGAGGTGCACGTGCCGACGAAAGATACTTCGGGGTATTAAGATGCAATGCATACCAGATGATGATAATATACCTTATGTACTGGTATAGATGTTTCCATTTTATGATTGCAAATTGCTGTGATATATTAATCACGGATTTTATACTACGTAAAATACAACACAAGGGCAGTAACTCTAACAGTATTCATTTTTTAATAAGAAATTCCATCTAAAAATCCTGAAGAACTTTGCTTAGTATGGTTGATTAAATAGTACTGTTCGGAGCCTGTCTCTGTAACGTCGTCGTCATCAATACAGTTGATTTCATACTGCACCAACAAAACTCATACAAAGGATTTTTTTATGGAATACCATATTGTGTTTTATCTTGGCAGTTGGAAACATTCCATATGAAGCTACAGAAGAACAGCTACGAGATATATTCACACAGGCTGGACCTGTAGTAAGCTTCAGGTATGATAAATTAAGATTTGAATTATTTGATAGATCCATCAAAATGAAGACTATATTTTCATACCAAAGATATATATACATGTATGACATATAGCAGGACAATTATTTATGGTCTACTTGCCCTGATCAAGTGCTGTGGGGAAAAAAAGTTTGATTACATTAAGAAGGGGCAAAAATGGCTAAGTTAGCAGAGCACAAATCAGATTTGAACTTCATAACTGCAGGTAAAGATACCTGGATTGCTTTCACCCAAGCAGTTAAAATGGTCGGGACAGTGCTAGCTTACTAGAGAAACATTGAGAAGACATCAGAACAAATGTTGGACTGTGAAATATTCAGTACATGCAGTTTAAGAAGTCCAGACAAACACTTCCAAAACTAAATGGCTTAATATTATAAGTTCTGTATGAAAATGCTGCTGGTATATTTACAGCAATAATAATATATTCAGTACAAGTTAAAATTGAACATATCTTCTTATTGGTGCAATAATTTGTTTGATAGGAAATTCCTAAAAAAAATGCATTTTAGTTTTACACGAAGATGTGTTCATTTAGCATGAAATAATTCTGTACCACCTGAACTGATTCAAATGGGTTATACAAAAGCAGCCCAGGTTTGTGGTTCAATACCAAACCTGGGCTATTTGTTGTCTCAAGAAGCTGAGATCACAAACTGTTTTGTGCTGTGGCAGTGTGTCCTTGGACAAGACACATCATTCCAGTTGTTCTTGGTAGCATGTGGTGGGCTTCCAACATGCTGTTACTGAGGTAGCCACCAGTTTTACTAAGTGATTCCACCAGGAGCTTTAACTGCTCATGGGGCCATAAACCATACAAATAAGTGGAAAGAGTTTAAAGCATGATATTTATGAAATATTCTAATGACATCAAGTTTGACAACAAGGTTGCATGATGTTCTATTGTAATCATCTGGTTATATTTAATTTCTACAAAGTTTTAGCAGTTTGAAAATCAAAGATACACCAAATCAACAACAATCTACTAGGTATATATGGTTCATTGAGGTTTGAATGAAGTGAATGGAAAGTGACTACAAATCTGATTGGGATTGATACCAAAACTTCAATACTTACTTCTATTTGATCATGTTGTGTGTTTTCATGAAGTTGGTCAAATTAATGTGTCTTTCAAAAGTGGAAAAAAAGGTGATGATTAGTATCATGCACTTAACAAACTTATAGGCAATGTCAGTTGAGGTATATTAGCTATGAACTCATCATACAGAAAATAAGACTTTGCTATTTTGGTATTTCAGACTTGTATACGACAGAGAAACAGGGAAGCCCAAAGGTTATGGATTTTGTGAGTACCAAGATGTTGAAACTGCGCAGAGTGCCATGCGCAACCTTAACAACTATGACTTCAATGGTCGACCACTACGTGTGGGTGTGGCTGCAGGGGAGCAGAACAGAGATGAAATGAAGGGCATGCAACAGGCCATGGGGGGCCCCCTGCTAGAGGTAACACTTTTATTTTGATACATAAATTGTGACCAAGTGTCCATGACAAGGGTATAAGATACCATCACTTTATTTTGTGTTTTTCCTGCAAAGACCCAACTATAGTCAATTTTATAGTAATCTTTATAGAGTTGTCGAAAATTATTTATGTAAGTGGTGATTCATACCAGGTACACTTCTCTGACTTCTATAAAAATTGATGTTACTAATAAAGATACCTACAAACAAACAAAACAGGGAATTATTTGTTGAGAAAATTAACAGGTGGCATTATGTAAGCCTTTTTAATCATAATTATTTCACCTGTGTTGACAGAGTCCATTTGGAGACCCAACAGAGCCAGAAAAAGCCCCAGAAGCTATTTCCAAGGCTGTAGCCAGTTTACCACCAGAACAGATGTTTGAGCTGATGAAACAGATGAAGGTATCAAGAATGCTTATTCTAAATTTGCCCTTGATGTTCATGTGAATTAGTTTTTAAAAAGACACCTTACTTTACATGTCTAATAATTACAATCAGAACTTCTCTGGAGGATATTGGAGATAAACATGCTGTGACACCTGTTGTTTACTTTTGTAGAGGATGTTGGAAAGATAAATTGAATAACATGAAATTTTGATCTGTTGCAGATGTGTATCCAAAACAACCCAACAGAGGCTAGAAATCTACTTTTACAAAACCCTCAGTTGGCCTATGCTCTCCTACAGGCACAGATTGTAATGAAAATTGTTGATCCCCAGGTTGCCATGGTAATGATACATTTGTTCACCCAGTCTAATTTGCCAAGGTTATTCCAGAAAATGATCTACTTTTTTACTTCAGAACTCCAAAATAAATCACTTTTGATACTATTCATGATCTTGCTTTCTGCCGAAACTAAGTAAATTATCAATTTAAATAAAATGATATGGGTGGCATCCATATACAAATCTTGATGTACTGGTGTGGAATAGATGTTTTACTGAAATAGCCCTTACTTACTAGCTTTTTTTCTATCTGGTGCTATGGTCAGATTTGTTATCTGGATCTACACATATCTCTACAACAAATCATGTATATCCTGATGTTATTGCACAGAGACTGTCTTGAATTACTTTTGCTGTCGTTCATCATCTGTCATTGTGTGCCGTTTGCCAGTTGCCATCTGTAAAATTTTCGTTTAAAACACTACTCCTGTTTAACACCTCGGTAGATTTCAACCAAATTTGGTCTGAAGCAGCAGTGGGGATGTGGGATCATTTCTTAAATTCAGAAATTTTATTAGATCTCAAGGGACTTGGGGGCGGGACCCTGAAAGGGGAAATTAGAAAATATTTTGCTTCAGAATGCTACTTCTTCTTATTGCAAGGGTAGATTTAAACCAAATTTGGTGTGATACAATAGTGCAGATGGGTTATCATTTTTTAAATTCAGAAAGTTGATTCAACGCTTAGGGACTTGGGGGCAAAGCCCCAAATGGGAAAGTTAGTCAATATTTTGCTTCAAAATACTACTCTTACTTAATCTTTGAATGGATTTCAACCGGATTTGGTCTGAAACATCATTGAGAGTTGGGAATCATTTCTTAAATTCAGAAAGTTGATTTGACCCCAAGGGACCAAATGGGAAAGTTATTCAATAATTTTCTTCAAAACGCTACTCTTCCTTAAGGCATGATGTGGTACAAAACGTCATTGTGACTGGAGAATCATTTCTTAAATTCAGAAAGTTGATTCGATTCCTAGGGACTTCAGGGCAGCACTCCAAAAGAGGAAGTTGAACAATATTTTGCTTCAAAATGCTATTCCTTCTTAATGCTTTAGAAGATTTCAACCAAATTTGACCTGAAACATTATCAAGGAGTGGCAATGATATCAAATATGCATGAAGTGACCCTGAGGTTTTTCTGACCAAATCTTATTTTTATAATCTTCTAGAGCAAATAGGTTGAACTTTTTCTCATGTTTCATTCACACCAATTAGAAAAATATTTGGAGTTTGATTTTTTTGTAAATAAAAGAAAGAGGTAATTTGTTATTATTTTTCATTCTTATTAAATCTTCAACATGGTAACCACTGTAGTTATTTTGTAACATGATTGTGCAAATATTTTTTATGAACAGAACCTACGATTTATGAGTTTTTGATACTTTGTATGTTCAAAATTTGAATTCATCAGATTTGACAGACCACCATCAGTGAATTCTTTGGTTTGTCCATCCATTTATCGATTTTCAGATGACTGTTAAGGGCCATGGCCCTCTTGTGTAGAATGTTTTATTCCTTATATATGTTTTGCTTGAATTTGATCATTTCTTTATATATTTATTTTTAGATATTTCTTGTTCATTGTTAAAAAGTCACAAATATCAATTTCATTGCATTTTTGTCTTTTGTTATCACAGGCTATGTTACACAGAGACACTAACCAGATTCCACCATCGAGTGTACCTTCTTCACAGCCTGTTAGCTTACCACCTCAGCTTAGAATGCCCAACACAGTTAGTATATTACTGCTAATGTATCAGAACTGTGACACTAGCTGTGGACTCTTCAGTACACTGTCATGGGCAGCCTGATAATTGGATACTGTCCTTACTAGTGATGACTATCAAAAAAATAAACTTAACTTTTGCTATAATTTTGAAGAAAGTTATTCCAACAAATTGACTCTCATTGTCTTGGATAGAAGTGTAGAGGGGTCTTGTTATTTGAGAGGAAACAGTAGCTTCCAGGGGAAAACCATGTGACCTGGCAGCTACCTATAGCAGTGTACTGATAGTATACTGCTGCTATGTCACCAGTTGAAGGCCCTAATGACCTTTTATGTGTTGACGGCAGTTAAGAATGAAATAATAATAATAACTGTTATGATATTCACTCAGTTTTTAGACTTTGGACATAGACTATCTGTACGCTGTCATGAACAGGTCAGTTACAATATACTGATAGCAGACTGCTGTTGATTTTGTACTGATAGGGTACTCCAAGGGAAGATACAGTTTACTGTCAGTACACTCTCATGGACAGTATACCATCAGTACACTGTTATCTGCAGTATATCAGTATACTGTCAGTACAATGTCACTGTTATTACATACCAAACAGTATATGAGGATTGAGACATAAGTCATTGTCTGTAAACTAGGAGTATTACTGTCAATTCAGAATGAATCAGTATGCTTTCAGTGTAGTTGGTTGTTCTTACATTGTCTGTACTGACACCTCATATATGGTCATATATCATCACTGTCAATGCATATAGCACTTAGGCTGCAAAGCCTATTGTATCTGAAGAAAGTCTAGTTATAGTTTCTGTTACATCAGGGATATTCAGAGATAGTTTATAGTCCATGGCTATGTTGCCGACATCTGATTAATTTTTATCATTTCAGTCGGTGCCCCAGGGACCACCAAACTCCATGGGAGGACCAATGGGCATCAACATGGCTTCAGGTAGGTCTTTCTTCCTAGATGGAAGTAAAAGTACACACATACCTGATGTATGTACTATTAAATTACACTATTGGTTGTATAAGGTTTTATAAGTATGTATTTGTCTTAATTTTCTGTCCATCCTTTTGTGCATCTACATGTATGGGGTAAGAAAGCACTTTATAGTGACATTATCACCAATAGTTATTTTTTCCTGGTCCTCTCTTGACCTATATTAACAATAGCCCACCACCCATATTTACTCTTTTAAAGTGTCTTCTTTCCTGTACACGCACACATATTACATACACCCATCCCCTTCATATGCAAATGCCATCAATTTCACTCTCATACAGCAATGTGTCATCAAACAAGGTTGTCAAATGTATGTGGGTTCGATTCAACAAATGTTAAGGTCACTTACTGAAGATAAAATTTCACAGTAATCGCTAGCATCAGTATTTATTTAGATTTAGTCGAAAATTTCTCATTTGATGCCATCTTCAATAATGTTTAATATTGGAGAGTTTTACACTTGAGCTTTTAATTGGTGTCCTTTGAATGAAATGAATTTTGTATTTTCATTTAAGGTCCACATGGACCAGGCGGTCCAGGCCCTCATGGTCCTGGAGGCCCCAGCTCCCATGGCCCAGGGGGACCAGGTCCACATGGTCCAGGAGGTCCAGGTCCACATCCAGGGGGTCCACATGGGCCAGGAGGCCCTGGACCACGTGGCCCTGGGGTCCCTGGCACTCGTGGTCCTGGAGGCCCAGGTCCTCATGGCCCAGGAGGGCCAGGACCAGGGGGACCAAGAATGGGTGGGCCAGAAATGATGGGCAGACAACAGGGACCTTTGATGGGTAAGTGTGAAGCTTAGTACTTTTTAATTGAAGGTCTTTTTCATGGACATGTTTTATCTATTTACATCATTTTGTCACTTAATGTTAGATATTTTAAAAAGTGCTGTGTAGCTGATCAGAAATTATTAGTTATAGATCATATAATAAAAACAAAGTCAAAGGTATTGTCTTAATGAAAAATCTGCAGTCTACCTTACTGCATCAAACTTACATAAGTACTACATGGTGACATTGTGTAAATGTGAAGAACCAAGAACCTATCTTAGCCAGAAGTTGATCATTTGATTACATATAGAAGATGCCTCTCATATCATACAGGTCCAGGTGGTCCTCAGCCCAACATCGGAGGGCCTCAGTCTAACATGGGAGGACCTCCAATGCGGGCAGACATGGGAGGTCCTCCTCAGTCTCGTGCTGAACAGAGAGACCCCAGGATGGGAGATGGGCGTGGTATGCCTCAAAGATCTGTTCCCCAGGGAGGAGCCCCAGCTGGTATTCCTGGACTGCCAAATCTTTCATTGGTAAATGACACAGTCATTGTGGTCAAATATTGTACACAAACATTAGGCAAAATAGAGTGATTTTATCAACATCACACTCATCATTGGATATGTAGGATGTATATCGCTGTTGGCCCAGGAGCAGATACTGTAGTACATTGAACTTCACTTACAAATTCCTATCAGTCCACAACAGAAGAATGAGTCCTTTTGTAAAAAGTATTTGATTTAGAATTCATAGGAAGAGTCATGCCATCACTCAAAATGAACCCTATAAGGAATGAAAACATCAACAAGGAAAAGTGTACCCCCTTAGGGAGAAGTGGGGTGGGGGGAGGCAGGAGGGGGGCAAAGGTGAACTGTCAAAATTTGACAGAGTTTGGTTTTGTTTTTGGACAAGTTCTTATTGATTAATGCGTAGTATCAGTGAGGAAAATTGTATTTATTGTGGTGCATTAGAAATTATAAAAAACTTAGATTTGATATTTTCTTTAACCGGACAGGTTGCTTAATAGTAAAATGTTATAATCTATAAACATGGTTTTACACAGCAAAACCTAGTCTCTCATATTTTTTCTTAGGTCTTTCATTATTCTTTTGTTAAGCTATAATTTACTGTACGTGTTTATGAAGCAATGGATGTTCGACTTTATAATTAATACCAGTTTGTGATTTCTGGTTTAACTTCACTCCTTAACAGGGTGGCCTACAGTTACCAGGAGGTATGCCAAATATGTCCGCAGGAGCCTCAATCTCAGCACAAGATCAAGAAAAGGTAAATCTAAGCCATTTTTTTAATGTTTCCTCTCTCCCAATCAAGACATTATAGATTCATACTAAATCTACAGAGAGTAGAAGAGGACCCGGAATCAAGCGCTTGGGGAATAAATTGCCCTTAACACTGAAATAAATGATAGATTTACCAAACATCATAGCAGTATATAATGTAAACGTATATTCAGGATAAACAGCTCCTTAGGTAAATTGTCATGCATTAGTAACAGCTATGAAGTTATTAAAATCATTATTTAAGAGTCATGTTATAATATTTGCAGTGATTCATTTGATGATTTTGCTACATTTGCAAAATTCCATGAAAGATATTGGTTCACATTAATGTATTCTGCTCCAAAAAATAAACCTCTACAAATAAAATCTGTTGTTTTGAAACAAATTTATCGCTATGTCAATGTTGTGAAAGGCTATATAGTTGATTAAAGAAATAACTATGTAAGTAAGGAAGTGCCAGGTATTAGAATGTCAATTGTACAAGATTTCAAAGGTTGACAAACATGACACAAATTTGCTGACAAAAACTGTGTAAAATCAAATATGAAAGTTTTTGATGACCTCTTACATTGAGAATTAATAGGAACTTATTAGGCAACAAAAGGAGTCACAGTTTAACCTGAAAAGAAACCGTGATATTGAATCATTGTCATTATGGCATCAGTAATACAAAGATGGTTTCTCGTTAACATGTCATTATGGTTAACAATTAAACAAAAATCTCCATCCCTGCATAACTTAAGCATGATATGATCATTAATCTTCTGCCCATACAGACTGTGTTTCATCTGGTTACATTTCAATACTTTAATACTAGGTTTATTTGTCATTTTTGTCCTACAGTGGCTTTGAATAGATGTTACACATGTTAGTCAGAGAGATATATGCGTGTATGTAATGTTGAGTTATGTTGTGTTTCAGGCTGCTTTGATCATGCAAGTGTTACAGCTAACAGACCAACAGATAGCCATGTTACCCCCAGACCAGCGCCAGAGTATTCTCATCCTAAAGGACCAGATAGCCAAGAGTGCAAACCCGTAGATACTGTCATTATTTTCTTACACTGACCATTTGGTGTTTAAAGCAGGCATGGTGCACTATTAGGTAGACAAGCTATGAACTCTCTGAAATTTAGAGTATAGCATGAAATATCATTATTGTGCATTCCAAACTGAAGTACGTTACTTTTATATGAAATAGAACTGAATAGCTGTTTGCTCAAAGTAATCAGAGTCCAGCAGTATGAATAATGTACTCGTGTTTAGGAGTATGTATGTCACCTGGCATGGTAATAATGCTGTTAATGTTTGATCTCTTGAAAATCTTGGATTTTTACAATTCATTAAATGTCTAAAATTATCATAATATTTGGAAGCATAAGTGACAGAAGCACTTGAGGAAATTAGTGCATTGATGTTTTTATCATTCATTTTTAGAATTGGTTTTGAAAAATGAACACAAATAGTTATCAAATGTAAACAGTATTTTGAAGAGACTTTGATATTTTCAGAATCCGCCATCTTACCAATGTGTGCCATGCAATTCATATCTTTCATGTTGTTATACTGTTACATATTGGTGTCAGAATTTCATATAAAAAATTGGTCAATTTTGATATGTGTATGATTTGTTTATTTTGGCATCCAAGTCATGACACGATAAAGATATCCTGGTTACAGTACATAATTGGTATGATAGCATTATTAGCTTTTTAGCCAACCATCATCAGATGATGATCTATTCAAATCGTCCAAAGTCCTGCGGACTGTCATCAATCTGATAACAGTTTTTGTTATCGTTATTTATTGAGAAAAACGGCATTGATCTCTCTCAAATTTCATATGTAGGCTACCCTTGGTCCCTTGTGCCTGTTTGATTATGGGACTGATCAGAAAGATTCCCCATGCCAAGTAAAGTTTTTTATTGCTATTTTATGAGAAGTACTCCATGGATCTCTCTCAAATTTCATATGTAGATGTCCCTTTGTTCCTAGTTGTGCCCATTTCATTTTGGGACTAACCAGAAAAACAAAGTTGCTGACAGGTGGCCATCTTGGATTTACACTTTGAAAGTTTGTTATCGCTATTCTAGAGAATTACTGCATAAATCTTTTTCAGATTTCAAGTGTCTCTGGGCACTCCCATTTGATTTTGAGTCTGATCAGAAAAACAAAATGGCTGACAGGTGAATATCTTGTATTTTGACTTTAAAAGTTTGTTATCCCTATTTCTTGGTAACTACAGCATACATCTATTTTAAAATTCATGAATATTGTTCCCTCTTTTCCTAGTTGTGCCTGTTTGTTTCTGAAAAAGAAAAGGGCCAACAAATGACCATCTTTGATTTTGACTTTGAAAGTCTTATTTTTTCTTGAAAAACTATGACGTAGATGTTTCTCAAATTTCATGTATAGGTTCCTCTTGGTTCCTAGTTATGCCGGTTTGATTATGAGACTGATCAGAAAAACAAAATGGCCGACATGCAGCCATCTTGGATTTTGCGTATCAAAGATTGTTATCCCTCTTTCTAAAGAAGTTCTTAACGGATCTCTCAAATTACATATGTAAGTTCCCTTCGGTCTAGTTGTGCCCGTTTTGAATTTGGGACTGATAAGAAGAAAGAAAATGGCTTCCAGGCGACCATCTTGGATTTAGCAGTTAAAGATTATCATCGCTATTTCTCCAAAGAAATGTTCAAATATTTTATCATTATGAGCAAAAACAAAGAAGCGAAAAACGCCAAGATCCCTCTGGGATCTCTTGTTAGTTGATCTGACCAAAGCTCTCAGGAAAACATACAGTTATCATGTTTCGTTACAAAATTCTTCACAAGTTCCACTTGTGGGATTGTGGCAATAGAAAAGAACATTCAGAAATTGAGTTTAGTCAATTTAGCTTTCAACCATGGTACTGAAGAAAGAACATGAGTATTGGGAATATTTTTCATATTAAAAATTAGAAAATTACATCAGGATTGGTAAAATATGCAGGTGAGAATCGGACTGTGTGCCTCCTATTTTGCTAAAATTTGGTTGAATTGACAAGTCCTACATAAATAGGAGATCTTTGATAAACAGGTTTTAACACCTAATGTATGAATTGAAGACTGGTGTAGATGCTTCATTATCTATGTGATGGTAAGTGGATGGTAATGCTGATGTGACTAAGTAGATTTATAGGTCACCGGAGATAAAGTCTGCGATAGCCTTTTGTCCAGTGTTGTGCAGTGCGAGTCATCCCTCATTAGCAGTTGACATTTACTTCTTTCTGGAAATTTCAATGTTATTTTGCATGGGGACAAATTGACCCAGATTGCTAAAATCTTCACAACACACCAAGAAATTATGGTAAAATCAAATTCTCTCCTTTGAATGAAAGGGTCTTTTTGCCAAAAGTTAAAATTTCATGTCTTCAAGGTCAAACATTTCGCATGATTGGGAATAAGAATGTGTACAGTTAACAATAGTTTATACAGGCAAGATATATTTTGAGTACATTTTCTTTCAATTTAAACTTGGTTAGAATTCTTACCATGGGACGAATGTTCATGCTGTTCATAGTGTGTAACTTGGTGACCATTTAGTTTCTTGGGGCACCTTATCTTGTTCAGAGGGCAATACCCTTTCTCATGATCTTCCCTAGTCATATCGATCAATTCTTTCTCTTTCCACGAGTTTCGTTGGTTAGACCAATCTTGATGATAACTGGTTCTGTAGCCAGACCGGGACCAAAACCTAAGTGTACATCCAAATCAATTTGCGTTTTAAACAGATGACATTTATTGTTTAGCTTGTTGTCAGTCTGAAGTGATTGGGGATGTTAAATCTCAAAACCCTAACAACAGGTTAACTAAAATTTCAATATATATATAAAGATATCTAAAAATTCTTAACAAGGCAATGTATATTAATAAACTGCCAAACCTACTCTGAAATTACAGAATAGTGTAATGATAAACTCGAAAACATGAAAACTTGACAATCAAAACTGGTAATCTTATGATCAAACTACAATTCACAAGAACAGTGAATTGGAACTGAACAACATAACAACAAAAAAAAATAATTAAGATAACAATATCGGAACGTGATACGTAAAATTTCAAAGCCTATCGAGATGAAAATAACTGCAACCTTTAAAACTATAGAATCTGAAAAAATCGAAAAAAAATCATAGAACTCGGAAGCTTTGTAATGTGACAATCAGAACAAATCCGTAAGAATAGGCGATCATTTTTATTGAGAGGATTTAATGTTTGCGCCACAGCCGGGGTCTTATAAGTGAAAAATAAAGCACAGAAAGATAGAAAAGAAAAGAAACTCAATTGTTGCGTGGATATAACATCTAGTGTAGTCTGTTCAAACAAGACATGAGAGATGACTGTTCTTGGGTGCTCCTATATCAGATAAACTATCCTCAATAAGAAATTGGTGCCCCACAATCTGTCGTCTTTTATGGCCATTTTCTACATGGCTTAAGAATAGGTGAGGAACTAAAATATTAAAACATCTCACAACCTGACAATCAAAGCCCAAGAACAGGACACGTATATACATGTAAATTCCCTTAAGAACACCTGTAAACTAAAAATATAAAACCAAAATGAGATTTTATACCCTCAAGTGCAATCAAAAATACCACAGCTTACCAACAGGAAATGTATCTATTTGTAAACTCCAAAACGTAAAATTATAAAAACCGATTTTTTTTAACTCTCAAAACATAATAAAGCAAATGCATATTACAATCCCATGAAGGAGAATAACATGACAACGGCAGATTCCGGAAGTTACGTTAACAACCTCGGTAAGATGATGTATTTTCGAAATTAACAAGAATAAAGGATATATGTACTGGGGGTTGTAATTTCTAGCTAGACAGAGTTCTTTATCTATCTGTACATGTCTCGCCACACAAAAGATATCAATTAAACAACTTAAATGTTCACATCCATATGAGCACAATTAATTTAATGTGTTAATTTATTATAATGGTGGACTATTCAAATCGTCCTACGTCCGTGGTCCGTTGTCATGACGTCCATAAGTTATTCTTGTGACCGCTATTTCTTGAAAGATATGAATCTTTCTCAGATTTCATATGAAGATTCCATTTGGTCTCTAGTTTTGTCTTCTTTTTTTTTAATTTTAGTAGTGATTTAAAAACAATGGCAGACCGATCAGTTGATGCATTTCTGAGTAAAAATGAAATGTTGATGTATTTCTAATTACCGAGTATAAAAGATAATGATGTTGATGCGTTGTGAATTTACCTGTTTCCAAGACCTATTGATGCGTTGTCAATCAACAAAGTTCAAAAGGCCCATTGATGAGTAGTATACAGACCTGTTTTATTTGCTATATTGTCGATCCAAGTTAACATTTTACAACTTGTATGTGACCGTCTAAAACATTAAAGATTATTACTCCTAAGTATGGCATTAAGTATGCTATACTTCGTCTCTCTGCTGTTGTCTTGGACGATTGACATAAGAATAAAGAGACACACTTAGATAAAGTCCCAAAGATAAGAGATGATCTTTGTGTGATCTGATTAGAAATAAGTCAATATGGAGTTGACGACACTAACTTTTGTATTGCTGTCCGTACATGTGGCTTGTAACCTTGCTGTTTCGCAAAATGATAATTCTGTCGAACTGCGACTTAATGAGATGGAGAGGAACTTTTTCTCGGCAATAGAATATCTGAAATCCGAGCTGAGAGACACCAAGGGCAAACTACAACACGTCCAATCTGAGCTTAGTTCGGCCAAGTCATCATTGAGGGATATACACTTAGAGTTGTCAGATACTCGGGCCGATCTACAGACGACTCGCGTTGGACTACAAAAGACACAGTCGGAATTACAGCTGACTCGGACAGAACTGCTCGCCAAAAAATCAGAACTTCTTCGGATGAATCTTATGACTGATGTACGTGAAAGCAATGAAAGTGAAAAACAACTCCCTGGTTCCAAGATAGAAATTAGTGGTGAAAATTATAGAAACGATCAGCCACTTAATTCTTCTGAACCAAACGCCCTGGCACCAGAACCACAGACTCGCCGCGAAATAAATCGGCTTTTGTCGACACGAAGTAAGTCTTTATTTTCGGGACATCTTGGACCTTATAAGTTGTAGTGTATAGAGACGTCATGGCGTTGTATTGTAGTAAGACCTGCTGAAATTATTAATTTAATTGACATGTAGATATCACAGGTTTACGATGTGTCGTATTTTTGCATTTTATATTCAATGTTGTCTCCTGAAGACAGATGATACAGAGATTATACAGAATGTTTCCTATAGCTTTCGTATCTGGCGTACAAGACATGTTAAATAGAGATGCAGTACGATACGGAGGGAATGTTCGACCCTGCAGCGCAAGGAAAAACTCGTGGACATAGTAAAAAGTTATTTTAAAAACATTGTCATTTGAATGTCAGAAAACATTATTTTACTCAAAGACTAATTGATACTTGGAATAGTCTCCCTCAATGGGTAATTTCATCACTTAACGTTCATGATTTTGAAAAACGCCTAGACGATTTCTGGAAAGATCTTGAACTGAAGTACGATCATACAGCGTCTTATATCTAGTATAATATTATGTTTATATTAATAATACATTGTATTGCAGAGGCAGAAATGCCTGCGTTCACTATTATCCTATTAAAATACCTGAAGTTATATAAACTTATAGCTTCACCAAATGTGAAGTTTGGTTTTGATCAGTCCAAGGAAACTCGAATTATATTCTGGAAATTGGTCATCAGAACCATTTTACTATTCATAGTAACAGTGACATAGTCGTTTTGACACCAAAATCTATCCCAAACTAGCAATTCCGATAAGTTTGTAAAAATAATTGTGAATTGTCGATATACTTTTCCAATCTTAGATAGGGAGGATAACAAATAAATATTGGACCAATAATCAGAGCCATTCGGACTACATCTGTTTATACATTGTAATGTATGCTTTTAATTATTCAGGTCGCCGAGTAACTAGCAAACAAGAGAAAGCATTCTCTGCTCAAGCGACCGGTCATTCCGTATCGCTGGTAACACATCAGACAGTCATGTTCCCACATGTCGTCCTCAACGAAGGTGCGGTATACGACAATTTGACGGGTGTTTTCACCTGTCCCGAGCCCGGGGTATATTACTTCTCTGTCACCATAATGGCATTTCGAGACGACGAGGTCGAAACAGAACTAGTAGTGAATGGTTACCAAATGATGATTAACTACGCCGGCGGATATCAGCGACATGACCAAACCACCAACTCAGTAGTGGTTCGTCTCAACACTGGAGACCGGGTTTGGGTTCGAATACTTCAAAACCCAGCCGTGAATACGGATGGTGCTATACGCATTTATGGATATGCATGGTCAACCTTCAGTGGCTTTATGTTATAACAATTGTTAAAATCCCATTGATAACTGCACTCTTTCAGTCACACAATTAAAGATTATATATCACAATGGTTTGTGCTGATATGATTTAGTGACACCGTGCGTTAAATCCTTTGGGACCTACCCTACTTCATGAGACACACTATTGCCCTTCCCTAGGGTACACATTTGTTACATTGATACTGATGATTTATTGGACTTGTGCAAAGTAACGGGCATTCGGCTTTTTTTCTCTCGAAAGTTGGTCATTCTAACATACTGTGTACGCCGGTTACATCTAATATTCAACGTTTATGCAGATATAAATCTGGTTACTGTTTATAAGTAGTTTTATAAGAGGGGTTATGAAAAATAGTATCTAAATTGATATTTTTTCAATTCAATTGAAGATTAAACATGATGCATACGTGTCTAAGGTACCATATAATGAATATCATGTTCACATGACCCAGCCACTTAAGTCGTGATTAGAACACCAGCCATCACCTGTTCCATCGGATCAATAAAGAGGCTGGCCTTACATTCATTGAATGTAAACACATTCCACCCTGAACTAACCATTCTGATCTACCAGAGTTATTGCCCTTCGTTTTCACTCCGTCAGTAGGCCCTATAGCGATAAGCTTGGCGACAGATGGAGGCCGAGAATGGCTCCAATATGATGATTCTATCAGTTAAAGTCACAAGACAGTACATGGCATCAGGCTGCGAGTATAACAGAAAATAACAATCCACCCCGTGGCGTGATGGCCGATTTCTATATCATATCAACCTCAAGGAGGTGAAAGATTTTATTAGTCTTTAAATGAAGTAAAGATATCTTCAGTTAACATAAAACTGCAAATACTACGTAGAAATGACTTAAAAGACCCGGAAACTCTGAATCACAGGATCTTTATAGTGTCAAATCTGGGTGAATATAGACCTACGCTGGTCAATAGTGCATTAGCATTCGGTAAAAAGAACACCCATTTAACAGTCTTTATACAGCGCTGGATCCATATAGATGTAACCATATTCTTATGTCATTTTGGCTGAGAACGTCTAGATGGGCGGTACATGTGCAATTCTAACGCTGTCTTTTTCATGTTACACCATCAGACTTTATTTCCTTTCAAATATCATAGTGTAAAAATGAAATGATACTACGACTTAATATGCAATATTGTCAGTATCATATAACAAGTGGGCAACAATAGAGCCTTAACACTCAGCTTATTTTGTTTGGCAGCTATTGCCTTATTCAAATTATATTGTCAAGATTTATATCTAATTTTATGTGGGCCCAGCACTATCAAATTAGAACAAAATCCTGTTATTTGTACAAAAGAAGTAAGATTTTATAGAATTCGCGATCCTGAACGTAAAGGGTTCGGATCCTCAGTTTATATATATATAAAAGAGACCCCTTCATCCAGTGATGCTCCAGACAAAGTTTGGCTAAATTCCTGCCATTCCTACAGAGGAAGGATTTTAATTTAAATAAATCCTCTACTTCCTCTACTGGGCCCAATTCCGCTGTTTATACTAAACTGAGTCTCCATCACCAAAGGACGCTTTAGACAAAATTTGTATTAATTCGTGCAAAATATGCTAATTTCGCCCTTTTTAACATCTGTCCCCAGAAACACCGCTTATATAGAATTGATTCTTATTCACCCAAAGACGCCTCAGTCAAAATTTGGACAAAATACAATCATGGTCTACACAAGGACGATCAGGCCTATATAGATACTTATATAAATTGGAGTACAATTCTCCAAGGATGCTCCTGGTCAAATTTGTTTACAGTCAGACCAGTCTTTCATGACTAGGCTTAGATCTATTACCTGTCAAGCGATTTTCAGAAATTAGCTAACGGAAGGAAGGACAAATCGACGGCCGCTTCGGTATGGCATAAATTCGCTAGTCCTTTGGACCAGGTGAGCATATAATGCTGTGATTACAAGTTGTAATACATTTGATTTAAGTAATCTTGTCCATATGCAATTTTTATTAAAAATACGCCAAACCTAGTCAATACTTGTCTTAACGAACGAAACTGTACCGATGATTACCTCCCTTAGAAGAAGTCTTTGCGTTGTCATGTAAACATCACACACAAAATGGCGCCGAAAATGGCAGTTACCTGACATTCCAACATAAAGACGTGTATTATAAACAGTTAAAAAATAACGCTGCCTAAACGTGAAGTGTGAAAAGTAAAAGTAGATTATCAGAGTAAGTAATTAAATGCGCTAATCAGAATAAAACGTTGTCGTATCGTATGAACCACGGTTAATTACTGGTGTTCTTTGCAGGTACATAATATTGTACTACATGTACTTAGTCTACTGTTACATTGCGAAAATCTGATACTGTACACTGCACGCGCGCAGTACGGCTTTATCCTTGTACTCCTGGTTGTTCATTAGTCTCATTGATATACATTTGTATCTATCTAAACACGTGCACTCTTGAATAACTTATGAGATCTAGTGTATTTTTATAAGTTAAACAATGTTTATATTTACACTTATTGAAGCTCAAACCGCATTACATACCTACGGTACTGTAAATATGCAGTACTATAATTATAACGCATACTGTACTCAAGACATATCTATATTTTACCTGTCATGTTCACTTTTTTCTATTTTATAGCCAAGATGACAGCATACAAATTTACAGCTCACAAACAGCTGCGCCAGTTACTCAACAATGCAGAAGTTGTTCAGAAAAAAGATATTAAGGACTATGCAGGGGGTCACTTGAACCAATCTAATTTGTTCAGACCCCCGACACAGTGGGGAAACCAGAAGTGGAATAAGACCTCACCAGAACCACTCTCAACCAAGTCTAAGTCTAAGAGCACCATTGTTGTGAGTACAAGACCCCCAACAGAGAGGGATCACAAGATGAAGGATGTCTTATATGATTTCAGTATTGGTACATCAGGTAGTTTACCAACTCATCCAACAAATAGACAATTTAAAAGTCCGAGAAAGGTCTCAGAATCTCGAACATCTACAAGAAAATGCCCGAGTGCTTCATCCAACAGGTCACTTTATACAGATATGGAAAAAGATGGTGTCTATGTAGAAGAATTAAAGACAGATGAAGTTATGTTATCATCACCTAGGATTACAAACTCTAAAGGCAAGAAACTACCTCCTGTGGAGGACAATGAATATACAGTAATGGAAGACCTAGCCAAAAGCCTGGCAGAGGAAGGACTTTTAACATTCAGGCATACATTCTTACCCACACACCACATGGGTGTGACCAAAAAAGACCAGTACATCAAACTTATGAGTTTTGAAACAGATGTATTAAAGAAGAAAGAATCAAATGAAAAGAAGGTTTTGTCTGGAGAAAAAGCAGTAAAACATTTAGAAGAACGTCTCCAGCAGGTTGGTTTTATGAAAAATAGAAATACATGATATTATTGTAAATTCTTGGTGAAAAAAAATTGAAGTTGGTTGATTTTTTTACCAGATTATTTATCATTTAATTTATCTTAGATTTTTAGTACATTCTGTAGATAATTTAAAACTTTTTTGCATGAAATTTATTCCTCTGCTCAATGTACACGGTGATTTAAAGTGTAACCAGTATGTCTCAGCTGAAGCTGTTGATTTTGTGTACTTTCAGGAACTTGATTCCATGAATTTCTTTGACATGGGACCAAATTTTCACAAATTGCAAATATATAGCAACACATTTGAAGACTTGATCGAAGACTCTCCCACTTTTGTGTATATCCTTCGAGCCGTCAAGGTAGGATTATAGTCTTAATGCTTTTGGAAATGTAAGATGGCATCATATGTATGTAAGAAATGAACTGTCTGTTGATGTACACCTTTTATGATTATTTCATGAAAGTATGGATACTGTGGTTCAATCCTCAGGGATGAAATATGCCAGAAAATTTAAGGCAATGGACATGATTTTTCTTTCTGCCTTTTGTGACATTATATTCACTGTACTAATGATTCACAGTTGTAATCAAGACATGTACTAGGTTAAATTGCTGGGAATGGGGATATTCTGATCTGGTAAGTAGGACAGGGCAATCCCATCATCTGAGTTTCCAAATTTGGCCAAAATTATTGTCATTCCAAGCCTTTTACTAATTTGTATGTGATTCATCAAACATCCTGGACATGAAAGTGTTACAAAAAAAACCTTACAATTAATCTCCCAAATCCTACATAGATGATAAATTGTCATACGATAGACTCCATTACTGTAAAATCTGTCTGGCACGTTCAAATTTTGGTGTGTTGTCACAAGTGTTACGGCAAATAGGCACAATGATGAATTTGGACATCAACATTTATTACTTGATAAACAGCATACAAAATTGTAATTAGAGCAATCATAATTGAGTGCATTTATTTCTGTGTAAAAAAAGGAAAGATTATTGCTAAAATAGCTACATTTACAGTAGCTCCCCACACTGTTATATAATAGGTTCTAATACTGCCATCCTCCCCCTGTTATCTGATATACTCTATTAGTGCTATCATATAATAGTTCCCAGCATTGTCTGTCATATGATAGACTCTGTTTCTGACTATTAGTCCCTTAATTAGTCCCCAGCGGAGACTATAGGTTTGCATGGTGTCAGTCAGTCTTACTGTCCTTCCACTATCTCATCTGGGCCCTATCTTCTATTCAACCTTGGTGACCTTGGTGAGACAGTGTGTTGCATATCAAAAGTAGGTCACTCTGACTTACATTTTGACCTTTGACCTACATTAAAAAGTTTGTCTGGACCCTATTTTCTATGCTGCTTGTCATGGGAACTTTATATACTTGTGATATGGGTTCATTTTATTGAGAAGATGTGTTACATATCAAAAGTAGGTCACTCTGACCTTCATTTTGACATTTAACCACTTAATCACAAGAACTTGATACTTGCGATATGGGTTCATGTTGGATGAACTTAATTTTGAGATATGGGTTCAGTTTGGTGAGATGGTGTGTCCTGTATCAAAAATGGTCACTCAAATCAACATTTTGACCTTGCCATACATGAAACAAAAAGCTTGTCTGGAAGCTATTCCTCATTCACATCTAGGATAAATCCTTCACAAATTCAATATACTTGCTGTCATATAGTGGGGGACTGTAATTCACCAAATTGTCTTGTTATATAAACATAATCCTGTAGAAAGTTGATTCTATTTACTGTAGACTGAATATGATAACTACATCTCCAAACTACTGGATACCCAAACTCCCCAGCACAGTAAGTTATTGAAGGAACAAGTTGAACAGATGGCCAGTCGCGGAGCATTACGCCATGATGACCTGCAGGATGCCAAGGACAGGGTCAGCCATCTGGAACAAAAGGCCAAAGACAAATTGGAGGAGAATGAACAGTAAGTTTACCGTGTACACTATATATTCAGTTGGTTGTGCCCACTTTGGTATTTGTTTTGTGTGTAGGGGATGAGAAAGATTAGTATGCATTAATTGTATGTCTAAAAGCCCTTGTTGATAGTTTATTTGATTGTGTATTCTGGACAGGGAAGTTTATGTTGGTATGTTTTCATCACAGGTTAAGGAGGTTGGTGGAAGAGGAGGAAGAATGGCTGACTAATATTCCTCAACCAGGTACAGAAATGTGTATATAGTGACATGTGTTCCTGAACTGGGTAAAGATATATGTAGTGACATGTATTTCTTAACCATGTACAGATATATCTAGTGACATGTGTTCCTGTACCATGTGCAGATATATCTAGTGACATGTGTTCCTGTACCAGGTACAGATATATCTAGTGACATGTGTTCCTCAACCATGTACTGATATATCTAGCGACATGTGTTCCTGTACCAGGTACGGATATATCTAGTGACATGTGTTTCTCAACCATGTACAGATATATCTGGTGACATGTGTTCCTGTACCAGGTACAGATATATCTAGTGACATGTGTTCCTGTACCATGTACAGATATATCTAGGGACATATGTTTCTGTACCAGGTACAGATATATCTAGTGACATGTGTTCCTGTACCAGGTACAGATGTATATAGTGACATGTGTTCCTGTACCAGGTACAGATATATATAGTGGCATGTGTTCCTGTACCAGGTACAGATATATTTAGTGACATGTGTTCCTGTACCAGGTACAGATATATATAGTGACATGTGTTCCTGTACCAGGTACAGATATATCTAGTGACATGTGTTCCTGTACCAGGTACAGATATATCTAGTGACATGTGTTCCTGTACCATGTACAGATATATTTAGGGACATGTGTTTCTGTACCAGGTACAGATATATCTAGTGACATGTGTTCCTCAACCATGTACAGATATATCTAGTGACATGTGTTCCTGTACCAGGTACAGATATATCGAGTGACATGTGTTCCTGTACCAGGTACAGATATATCTAGTGACATGTGTTCCTCAACCATGTACAGATATATCTAGGGACATGTGTTTCTGTACCAGGTACAGATATATCTAGTGACATGTGTTCCTGTACCAGGTACAGATATATATAGTGACATGTGTTCCTGTACCAGGTACAGATATATCTAGTGACATGTGTTCCTGTACCAGGTACAGATATATATAGTGACATGTGTTCCTGTACCAGGTACAGATATATATAGTGACATGTCGTCCTCAACCATGTACAGATATATCTAGCGACATGTGTTCCTGTACCAGGTACAGATATATCTAGTGACATGTGTTCCTGTATCAGGTACAGATATATCTAGTGACATGTCGTCCTCAACCATGTACAAATATATCTAGTGACATGTGTTTCTGTACCAGGTACAGATATATCTAGTGACATGTGTTCCTGTACCAGGTACAGATATATTTAGTGACATGTGTTTCTGTACCAGGTACAGATATATCTAGTGACATGTGTTCCTGTACCATGTACAGATATATTTAGGGACATGTGTTTCTGTACCAGGTACAGATATATCTAGTGACATGTGTTCCTCAACCATGTACAGATATATCTAGTGACATGTGTTCCTGTACCAGGTACAGATATATCGAGTGACATGTGTTCCTGTACCAGGTACAGATATGTCTAGTGACATGTGTTCCTCAACCATGTACAGATATATCTAGGGACATGTGTTTCTGTACCAGGTACAGATATATCTAGTGACATGTGTTCCTGTACCAGGTACAGATATATATAGTGACATGTGTTCCTGTACCAGGTACAGATATATCTAGTGACATGTGTTCCTGTACCAGGTACAGATATATATAGTGACATGTGTTCCTGTACCAGGTACAGATATATATAGTGACATGTCGTCCTCAACCATGTACAGATATATCTAGCGACATGTGTTCCTGTACCAGGTACAGATATATCTAGTGACATGTGTTCCTGTATCAGGTACAGATATATCTAGTGACATGTCGTTCTCAACCATGTACAAATATATCTAGTGACATGTGTTTCTGTACCAGGTACAGATATATCTAGTGACATGTGTTCCTGTACCAGGTACAGATATATTTAGTGACATGTGTTTCTGTACCAGGTACAGATATATCTAGTGACATGTGTTCCTGTACCAGGTACAGATATATTTAGTGACATGTGTTCCTGTACCAGGTACAGATATATCTAGTGACATGTGTTCCTGTACCACGTATAGATATATCTAGTGACATGTGTTCCTGTACCAGGTACAGATATATATTACAATGCGTTATGACAGAAGTCAGCTAGCTTTAACATTAACACAATTTTATAAGTTTTGTTTATTTAGTGTATCAGTTTTAAAGTAAGGTAAATACATTCTTTTTAAAAAGAAAATATAATTCTTCTTCATAATGAAAGAGGAAATCAGAGAATGGTGTCAGACCATTTCCATATGCTGGATTCTTGATTCAAACATTATTTCAGGTATTTTGTACTTATTTTAGAAATACTAGATTACTCAATAGGTATCTGATAACCCTGTTCATTCTGCTTTCTATCTCAAAGTCTTATTATGTTGACAATTGAAATATCTGAAAACTATCTTGGTTATATGAATATCTGCAGAGTTCGTGCAATGAGGAAATTGTTTTATACAGTTTTAAATTTGAATGGTTTGTACAGACCTGCAAAGGAAGAAATCCAGTGTGTACCGTGAAGAAGGTCCTGCAGAACTGGCTGATGAAATTGAGCATGCCAAAGCTTTGATCCTTGAGAAGCTTGATGATCTCAACAACCTGAGAACAAAACTTCGAGAACAGTATGTTCCTCTCACTGTGTGTACACACCTGGAACAGTGTATTAAGGAAACAGAGGTAAACTTTCACTGAAGTAGGCTGTAAAACTCCAGTCAACATATTTTACATCTCTGTAATGATATCCATCCCCGTCCCATTTCATTTTTATCCTATTCAATTCCATCCCTGTCCCATTTCATTTTTATCCTATTCCATTCCGTCTTTGTCCCATTTCATTCAATTCCTTTCCTGTATCATTCCACATCTTTAGCATCCTATCCAATCACATTAATTTCCTACCATATTTTATCCCTTTTCCATACTTTTCCATCTCAGTCCTCATCATATCCCATTCCATGCATTTCTTGTCACATTCCATCCCCATCCCTGTCCTATTTGATCCCCATCCCTGTCCCATTCCATTCCGGCCCCTTTCCATGTCATCTCCATCCCATTTCATCTGCATCATGTCACATTCCATTCATTTCTTGTCACATTCCATCCCCATCCCTGTCCTATTTGATCCCCATCCCTGTCCCATTCCATTCTGGCCCCTTTCCGTGTCATCTCCATCTCATTTCATCTGCATTATGTCCCATTATCATTGATGTTCTGTCCATTCCATCTTTATCCTGTTTTATTCAACCAATTTCATGTCCCATTCCAACCTATTATGTCCTATCTCTGTTCTGTCCTATTTCATCTCCATCCAATTCTATTTTAATGTCAGCATCCTGTGAACTTTACTTCTTCACCTATTTTAACCCAAATTTATACAAAGGTGATGAGAACAACATGGAGTTAGTGTTGTTATTGATAGAAATTCTCAATCAAGGACATAAAACTTCAAAGAAGAGAAGATATTCATATCATACACATCTATTGCTTTTACCTTGTTTGAAAAGTTGTTACATCATTTATAATTTCATATAGCCATGTGAAAATCTTTTGAACGTATGTAAAATGTGTCTTGATACTGACTTAACATTTAACTGTTATAGCTACTTTGATATATGTGGAGGAAAATTAAATTAGATTGATACATAATTGATGACATGGTTTGTACTGTAAAAGATAAAGTAGGTAGAGCTTATATAAAACTTGTCATTGATGAGAAACATTTTACAGTTACTTAAGTCTTTGGAATGATGTCCGCATTGCTGACATTCTTCTTGGATATACTTTATAGGTTGAGGTACAAAAACTGCTGAAGCAGAATGAGTACTTCGAGAGAAGTATTGAGGAAATGGAGGTAGATCTGAAGGAGGCTATACAACAAGCTGACACCAGTGAGAGGGACGCCAAGTAAGTCCATAACAATACACCTTAAACCTTGATAAATCTACAGAGATACACCTCAAACCTTGATAAATCTACAGAGATACACCTCAAACCTTGATAAATCTACAGAGATACACCTCAAACCTTGATAAATCTACAGAGATACACCTCAAACCTTGATAAAATCACAGTGATACACTTCAAACCTTGATAAATCTACAGAGATACACCTCAAACCTTGATAAATCTACAGAGATACACCTCAAACCTTGATAAAATCACAGTGATACACCTCAAACCTTGATAAATCTACAGAGATACACCTCAAACCTTGATAAATCTACAGAGATACACCTCAAACCTTGATAAATCTACAGAGATACACCTCAAACCTTGATAAAATCACAGTGATACACTTCAAACCTTGATAAATCTACAGAGATACACCTCAAACCTTGATAAATCTACAGCAATACACCTCAAACCTTGATAAATTCCCAGAGATACACCTCAAACCTTGATAAATCTACAGAGATACACCTCAAACCTTGATAAATCTACAGAGATACACCTCAAACCTTGATAAATCTACAGAGATACACCTCAAACCTTGATAAAATCACAGTGATACACTTCAAACCTTGATAAATCTACAGAGATACACCTCAAACCTTGATAAATCTACAGAGATACACCTCAAACCTTGATAAATTCACAGCGATACACCTCAAACCTTGATAAATTCACAGCGATACACCTCAAACCTTGATAAATTCATAGCGATACACCTCAAACCTTGATAAATTCTTAGGGATACACCTCAAACCTTGATAAATTCACAGCGATACACCTCAAACCTTGATAAATCTACAGCGATACACCTCAAACCTTGATAAATTCATAGTGATACACCTCAAACCTTGATAAATTCATAGGGATACACCTCAAACCTTGATAAATTCATAGTGATACACCTCAAACCTTGATAAATTCATAGGGATACACCTCAAACCTTGATAAATTCACAGCGCTACACCTCAAACCTTGATAAATCTACAGCGATACACCTCAAACCTTGATAAATCTACAGCGATACACCTCAAACCGTGATAAATTCACAGCGATACACCTCAAACCTTGATAAATTCATAGTGATACACCTCAAACCTTCATAAATTCACAGGGATACACCTCAAACCTTGATAAATTCATAGTGATACACCTCAAACCTTGATAAATCTACGGCGATACACCTCAAACCTTGATAAATTCATAGGGATACACCTCAAACCTTGATAAATTCACAGCGATACACCTCAAACCTTCATAAATTCATAGTGATACACCTCAAACCTTCATAAATTCACAGGGATACAACTCACACCTTGATAAATTCATAGTGATACACCTCAAACCTTGATAAATCTACGGCGATACACCTCAAACCTTGATAAATTCATAGGGATACACCTCAAACCTTGATAAATTCACAGCGATACACCTCAAACCTTCATAAATTCACAGCGATACACCTCAAACCTTCATAAATTCATAGTGATACACCTCAAACCTTGATAAATTCACAGGGATACATCTCAAACCTTGATAAATTCATAGTGATACACCTCAAACCTTGATAAATCTACGGCGATACACCTCAAACCTTGATAAATCTATGGCGATACACCTCAAACCTTGATAAATTCATAGGGATACACCTCAAACCTTGATAAATTCACAGGGATACACCTCAAACCTTGATAAATTCATAGTGATACACCTCAAACCTTGATAAATTCACAGGGATACACCTCAAACCTTGATAAATCTACGGCGATACACCTCAAACCTTGATAAATTCATAGGGATACACCTCAAACCTTGATAAATTCATAGTGATACACCTCAAACCTTGATAAATTCACAGGGATACACCTCAAACCTTGATAAATTCATAGTGATACACCTCAAACCTTGATAAATTCACAGCGATACACCTCAAACCTTGATAAATTCATAGTGATACACCTCAAACCTTGATAAATTCACAGCGATACACCTCAAACCTTCATAAATCTACAGCGATACACCTCAAACCTTGATAAATTCACAGCGATACACCTCAAACCTTGATAAATTCATAGTGATTCACCTCAAACCTTGATAAATTCTTAGGGATACACCTCAAACTTTGATAAATTCACAGCGATACACCTCAAACCTTGATAAATTCATAGTGATACACCTCAAACCTTGATAAATTCACAGGGATACACCTCAAACCTTGATAAATTCATAGTGATACACCTCAAACCTTCATAAATTCACAGCGATACACCTCAAACCTTGATAAATTCACAGCGATACACCTCAAACCTTGATAAATTCATAGTGATTCACCTCAAACCTTGATAAATTCATAGGGATACACCTCAAACCTTGATAAATTCTTAGGGATACACCTCAAACCTTGATAAATTCTGAGGGATACACCTCAAACCTTGATAAATTCTGAGGGATACACCTCAAACCTTCATAAATTCTCAGGGATACACCTGAAACCTTGATAAATCTACAGTGATACACCTCAAACCTTGATAAATTCACAGCGATACACCTCAAACCTTGATAAATTCACAGCGATACACCTCAAACCTTCATAAATCTACAGAGATACATTTCAAATCACATGCTGACAGAACTGTGATAATGAGACAGGGATGAAATGATTTATCTCACATGCATCCAAATATATTTCAATGATGAAATATACGGGTCAGAGTATCAAATAGTGATATGATAAATATGGTTCTGTGTCACTCAGATTATGAACCATGCTTCTCTGAATTCTACATCCTATATAGGAATGTCATATTCTGTATCACACACACATATTCTGACAGCAAGATATATAACATCTAGTGTAAAGTATATGGAACAACAATAAGAACTTTATTATGGAAGGTAACGCAGTGACTGATTAAGTGTTTGTTTTAATCATCCATCTTTTTTCAGGCGGATCTGGAGAAAAGTGAACTCCAGACGTGGGCTACCTCATATTCCAAACCTGATGAACGGAGGACCACATGAAAGTGATGATGATGAAGATGATGAAAGTAAATGGAACTGGTACATCTCCTAAGCATTAACAAAGAATCCTCTGGTGATCAGGACTGTGTGTAATTAAACAGGAGTAGCTGCAACGGGCTGTTGTACTACAAAGTATATTGTAATTGACAATGTTAACTAAACATCAACTGTCTACAGTATTACTGTACTAAAACCATGCTGACAAAATGTGTGTGTGAAAAAAATATTAATGTGAATATCAGATGAATTTATCTTATTGAAAAATATTACAAACTCCTCTTTTCACTTTGTGATTTTACTATTTTGTGTAACTAGATATGGATTTTCTGATATCAAATCCATAAGAAGCAAATGTTGAGTGTTGAAATCAGGAATGAAAAGGAAAGTTTTTAAAGTGTTAACATGTCAGACTCTAATAATTCCTGAAAAAGATATCTCCCTAATGGACTATTCAGTTCTGTAATGATAAATAAATACCCATTTGTAGTATGTGTGTAAGTTTATCACACTAAATGTACAGTTGTGGGATCGTTTTGTTGCTGGAGACACACCACTCTCCACTCTCTGAGGTGTGAAACTTTATCATAGACTTATTAATGCCAGGTCCAGTGTTATTTTGAAAAATGTTGAATTAAAAATAACTTTTGCATTCACAAATTTATTTTGATATGCCTATGGCTATTTAGTCATAAGTACATGAGTTTTCCATCTAATTTTCGATTGGTAATGTTAGCCATCCATTTTTGCAAATGGCACAAAATATGCGATCCTATTGCACAATTGTACACTATATACTGAATAGTGCATGTGCTTGTGTGATGTATGCATGATGTAAGCATGATGTGCGCACAAAGTTTTAGGTGCATTGTGTGGTACCACAATTGTACATGTAGCTCTGCTAAGACCGGTATGCTTTCTTGGGTGAATAATGAATTTTCAAAGTAAACTTTACATATACATATGTATCAGCATTACTGATAGATTTATGATGTTGGAATATAATAATTATCAATAGATGTATGTAGTAATGAGAAAAAGTCATTATGTACAATGTATAACAGATACTCCTTGTCAAAAGTTTGACAAAGTTTGCAGCTTTCCTCACTGTTGTACAGTCTAATGCTTTTGGACATGCTGTGCACAATGTATGTATCTTGTTATTGTGTTCATATCTGAAGCCAGGAAAAGAGCTACATAAGGTGCTAGTCTACATAGTGAAAGAAATATGTACAAACTGTAGGGGTCAAAGAATTGAATGGGACTGGAGAGTAGCTTTTTTTTTAGTAATGTGAAGTTTCAGTGTTTGTGATGAGGTTTAACACCACATATAATTACATACCATTTATCAGCATGATAATTGAGACATTATAGGGGCTTGGCTGATGCTGTATATTCCCATTGCATTCTGTGTGATTCAGTCATTGATTCTGTTTTACCAGGTATGTAGACTGTACATACACATTCCCCAAATATTACTAGTATTATTAAATGTGTAGTACTGCTAAAACTGTGATACCAAATAAATCATCAAATGAAAGACATCTCTGTTTTTTTTCTCTTTTTTTATCAGAGTTACAAAAACCCATTAAAACAAGAGTATCAATGAAACTTATGAACATATTCTCTTCAAAAATCACTTAATCGGACACAAAATTTTAACAAAGCCTGTCATAAATCTGTAATTAAGGGGTTGCAGTTCCTGAATTTGATATATGGCATATTGACTAAATATGATCAATGTATACACCCAAGTTTCCTGCTCCTGGTTTTAATGCAGGCAAAGCTATGCTCATGACACAACATTTTAACGAAGGGCAATAACTCTGTACTGAAGGGTCATAAGCCCAGACTTTACTCCATTGCCCTCTGCTTTTGTATGACTGGTGTAAATATCATGTTTCAATATCCTAGTTAAATTGCAGGCAAAGTAATGCTCTGGACACAAAATTTTATCATGGCTCTTAAATTAGTACACGTACAGTTCACATTGATCAATGTATACACCAAGTTTTGATTATCTTCTAAAATGCAAGCAAAGTTATGTTCTGGACAAGACATTTCTAACAAAGGGAAATAACTCTGTAATTAAGGGGTCAAGGAACCTGAATTTGGTACACAGCACATTATATATATTTTTTCAATATATCCAAGTTTCATTATCCTAGTTTAAATGCAAACAAATTTGTACTTTGGCCACGAAATCATAATAAAGGCCAGTAACTCTGAAATTGAAGGGTCGAGTGCTGTGAATTTGGTTCACTGAACATCCATTTAGCATGGAATACCACAATAATTAAAACAGATGCTAAACAACCACTATCAATCACAAAAGAGATAGAACTACTACTAACTAGGAAATAAAACTACCACAAACAAGGAGATAGAACTACCACGAACAAGGAAATAGAACTACCACGAACAGGGAAATAGAACTACCACGAACAGGGACATAGAACTACCACGAACAGGGAGATAGAACTACCATGAACAAGGACATAGAACTACCACAAACAAGGAGATAGAACTACCATGAACAGGGAGATAGAACTACCACAAACAAGGAAATAGAACTACCATGAACAGGGAGATAGAACTACCATGAACAGGGAGATAGAACTACCACGAACAAGGAAATAGAACTACCACGAACAAGGAGTTAGAACTACCATGAACAAGGAGATAGAACTACCAAGAACAGGGAGATAGAACTACCACGAACAAGGAAATAGAACTACCATGAACAGGGAGATAGAACTACCACGAACAAGGAAATAGAACTACCACGAACAGGGACATAGAACTACCACGAACAGGGACATAGAACTACCATGAACAAGGACATAGAACTACCACAAACAAGGAGATAGAACTACCATGAACAGGGAGATAGAACTACCACAAACAAGGAAATAGAACTACCATGAACAGGGAGATAGAACTACCATGAACAAGGAAATAGAACTACCACAAACAAGGAGTTAGAACTACCATGAACAAGGAGATAGAACTACCAAGAACAGGGAGATAGAACTACCACGAACAAGGAAATAGAACTACCACGAACAGGGAGATAGAACTACCACGAACAAGGAAATAGAACTACCACGAACAGGGACATAGAACTACCACAAACAGGGACATAGAACTACCATGAACAAGGACATAGAACTACCACAAACAAGGAGATAGAACTACCATGAACAGGGTGATAGAACTACCACAAACAAGGAAATAGAACTACCATGAACAGGGAGATAGAACTACCATGAACAGGGAGATAGAACTACCACGAACAAGGAAATAGAACTACCACGAACAAGGAGTTAGAACTACCATGAACAAGGAGATAGAACTACCAAGAACAGGGAGATAGAACTACCACGAACAAGGAAATAGAACTACCACGAACAGGGAGTTAGAACTACCATGAACAAGGAGATAGAACTACCAAGAACAGGGAGATAGAACTACCACGAACAAGGAAATAGAACTACCACGAACAAGGAGATAGAACTACCACGATCAAAGGAAATAGAACTACCACGAACAGGGACATAGAACTACCACGAACAAGGACATAGAACTACCACAAACAAGGAGATAGAACTACCACGAACAGGGACATAGAACTACCACGATCAAGGACATAGAACTACCACAAACAAGGAGATAGAACTACCAAGAACAGGGAGATAGAACTACCACGAACAAGGAGATAGAACTACCACGAACAGGGAGATAGAACTACCATGAACAGGGAGATAGAACTACCAAGAACAGGGAGATAGAACTACCATGAACAGGGAGATAGAACTACCACGAACAGGGAGATAGAACTATCACAAACAAGGAGATAGAACTACCACGAACAAGGAGTTAGAACTACCATGAACAAGGAGATAGAACTACCATGAACAGGGTGATAGAACTACCATGAACAGGGTGATAGAACTATCACAAACAAGGAGATAGAACTACCATGAACAGGGTGATAGAACTACCATGAACAGGGACTTAAAACTACCATGAACAACGAAATAGAACTACCACGAACAGAAAAAGACTTTCAAGTTCTACCACTACGAGTGTAAATTAACTATCACTTTTAGAAGCATAAAGATACATTTACAACACAGATTTAAAACTACTACCACAAAAACTGATTAAAATACCACTACTGCAGATAAAACTACCACAAACTGTGACAGGAATACCACTACCACAAATGTAAAACTATCAAAACTACAACACAGATAACTACCTCCAACTACAAAGCCCTTATGCTTACATTCTATTATAATGTTTACTCTGGCAACACACAGAGCAACATCTCTAAGGGACAGTGGAGATAACTGTCACAGTGTACCTGAGGGGAGGTAACATTCAAACAGTAATCAGTGGAGGTAAGGTAACCCTAATACAGTAAGTGTACCCAAGGGGAGGTAACTATCAAATTGTAACTACCAGGCGGTAACCTTAAAACAGTAACTGTCACAGTATACCTAAGGGGAGGTAACGTTTGAACAGTAATCAGTGGATGTAACTGTCACATTGTAACTGCGGGGAGGTAACCCACAAACAGTAACTGTCACATTGTACCTAAGGGGAGGTAACGTTCAAACAGTAATCAGTGGTGGTAACTGCCAAATTATAACAATTGGAAGGCAATTAAAACTAACTTCAACCAGAGGATGTAAATGTAAAATTGAAACAGTCAAGGGGAGTTAACTATCAAATTGTAACTACCAGGCGGTAACCTTAAAACAGTAACTGTAACAGTATACCTAAGGGGAGGTAACGTTCGAACAGTAATCAGTGGATGTAACTGTCACATTGTAACTGCGGGGAGGTAACCCACAAACAGTAACTGTCACATTGTACCTAAGGGGAGGTAATGTTCGAACAGTAATCAGTGGTGGTAACTGTCACGTTGTAATTACGGGGAGGTAACCCCGAAACAGTAACTGTTACAGTGTACCTGAGGGAAGGTAATGTTCGAACAGTAACTATCACATTGTCACTACGGGTAGGTAATCCAAAAGCAGTAACTGTCAAAGTGTACCCGAAGGAAGGTAATGTTCGAACACTAATCAGTGGAGGTAACTGTCACATTATAACTGCGAGGAGGTAACCTTAAAACAGTAACTGTCACAGTGTACCTAAGGAAAGGCAACGTTCGAACAGTAATCTGTGGTGGTAACTGTCACATTGTAACTACAGGGAGGTAACCTTAATACAGTAAGTGTACCCAAGGGGAGGTAACTATCAAATTGTAACTACGGGGAGGTAACCCTCAAACAGTTACTGTCACATCGTACCTAAGGGGAGGCAACGTTCGAACAGTAATCAGTGGATGTAACTGTCACATTTTAACTACAGGGAGGTAACCCCAAAACAGTAACTGTCACATTGTACCTAAGGGGAGGTAACCCCCAAACAGTAATTGTCACAGTATACCTAAGGGGAGGCAACGTTCGAACAGTAATCAGTAGTGGTAAGTGTCACTTTGTAACTACGGGGAGGTAACCCCAAAACAGTAACTGTCACATTGTACCTAAGGGGAGGTAACGTTCGAACAGTAATCAGTGGATGTAACTGTCACATTGTAACTGCGGGGAGGTAACCCACAAACAGTAACTGTCACATTGTACCTAAGGGGAGGTAACGTTCGAACAGTAATCAGTGGTGGTAACTGCCAAATTATAACAATTGGAAGGCAATTAAAACTAACTTCAACCAGAGGATGTAAATGTAAAATTGAAACAGCGAAGAAGTAACTCTAACACTGTAGTCAGAGGTGGTAAAAGTCATAGTGTAACATTGGGGAGGTAATTCTCAAACTGGAATCAGAGGAGGTAATTGACGCATTGTAACGACTTGGCGGTAAATACCAAAGGAGCTACTTATTCTGTCCCGGTGTTCCTTAGAGAACGGACTCTCATACTGTATTCTGAGGAAGTAACTATCGTATTGTTACTCTGGGCAGGTAACTATCGAAGGTGGTAAATGTCGTTATGTTACTACGGGGAGGTAACTCTCAAGCTGTTATTACATAGATGAAACTCTCAGACAGCTATCAAGGGGGAGTGTTTAAACAGTCATAGAACTAGAGTTGTTGCATGAGATAGCTCTCAAACTTTAAACCGAGGAAGATGGCCCCGCTGTGGTTGTAACATCTTTCATTTTCTGAATGCTACGTTTGTAAGTCTGTAAAACATTACTTTACCAGCACCTTTCACTCCAGGCACGAGTTTGTTACGCGATCTAGTTATCTGTTATAACATCTGTGTAATGTTTTGTTTACTATCTACATCAACACATCTGTCAGTGTGACCCATTACAACAGATAGTCATACTATCTCTCCACTTCTACACAGAAAGTTAGATGATGTGAAAGTTCACTAAGCACGATTCTCATGTTTAAAATGTCTCACTGCAGTCAGCTATAAGTACTACGTAAAGACAGGATCAGTCGATCAAATCCAGTAAATTCAAGACATATCCTTAGACAGGCGGTAGAATACAAAGAACTACGTATAGTGTAGAACAGACTGTCTAATGCTACATATCAGGTGTAGCCACGAACAGGCTGTCAAATACTTCACACCAGGTGTAGCCACGAACAGGCTGTCAAATACTTCACACCAGGTGTAGCCACGAACAGGCTGTCAAAAACTTCACACCAGGTGTAGCCACGAACAGGCTGTCAAATACTTCACACCAGGTGTAGACACGAACAGGCTGTCAAATACTACACACCAGGTGTAGACACGAACAGGCTGTCAAATACTTCACACCAGGTGTAGCCACGAACAGGCTGTCAAATACTACACACCAGGTGTAGCCAAGAACTGACTGTCAAATACTACACATCAGGTGTAGCCACGAACAGGCTGTCAAATACTTCACACCAGGTGTAGCGGGCAACAGACTGTCAAATACTTCACACCAGGTGTAGTCACGAACAGGCTGTCAAATACTACACACCAGGTGTAGCCAAGAACTGACTGTCAAATACTACACATCAGGTGTAGCCACGAACAGGCTGTCAAATACTTCACACCTGGTGTAGCCACGAACAGGCTGTCAAATACTTCACACCAGGTGTAGCCACGAACAGGCTGGCTGTCAAATACTTCACACCAGGTGTAGCCACGAACAGGCTGTCAAATACTTCACACCAGGTGTATCCACGAACAGGCTGTCAAATACTTCACACCAGAACAAACTGTTAGATACTAAGAACCAGGTATAGTCCAAAACAGGCTGTCAAATACCAAGTACCAAGTATGGTCCAGAACGGAGTGTCAAATAGTATCAGGTAAGTACTAGAACTGGCCGTCACATACCAATTGCTATGCATGGCTCGGTACCGTTAAGGACTGGGTACCTATGTACCTAGATATAAAGGTGTGTTACTGTCAGGGCTGGTTACCTATAATCTTTAAGGACTTGGTACCTATGTACCTAGATATAAAGGTGTGTTACTGTCAGGGCTGGTTACCTATAATCGTTAAGGGCTGGGTACCTATGTACCTAGATATAAAGGTGTGTTACTGTCAGGGCTGGTTACCTATAATCGTTAAGGACTTGGTACCTATGTACCTAGATATAAAGGTGTGTTACTGTCAGGGCTAGTTACCCATTATCGATATAAGGTGTGACTGCTGGTACCTATAATCTATGTACCTAGATATAAAGGTGTGTTACTGTCAGGGCTGGTTACCTATAATCGTTAAGGGCTGGGTACCTATACATCTAGATATAAAGGTGTGTTACTGTCAGGGCTAGTTACCTATAATCGTTAAGGACTGGGTACCTATGTACCTAGATATAAAGGTGTGTTACTGTCAGGGCTGGTTATCTATAATCGTTCAGGGCTGGGTACCTATGTACCTAGATATAAAGGTGTGTTACTGTCAGGGCTGGTTACCTATAATCGTTAAGGACTGGGTACCTATGTACCTAGATATAAAGGTGTGTTACTGTCAGGGCTAGTTACCTATAATCGTTAAGGACTTGGTACCTATGTACCTAGATATAAAGGTGTGTTACTGTCAGGGCTAGTTACCCATTATCGTTAAGGGCTGGGTACCTATGTACCTAGATATAAAGGTGTGTTACTGTCAGGGCTGGTTACCTATAATCGTTAAGGACTTCCTACCTGTGTACTCAGATTGATGAAGGTGATATTAAATTCTGTTCCTAGGTATAAAACTGTAAGGCTAAGATCGGAGGGTGTGCAGCACGGCGACTGGAAGATCTGTGGCGAGTCTGTATCCATCATATCTACATCTCGTAGAATTTTATGTCCCGATGTCTGCGATAAGGCTATAAAGAGCATACATGTTTATGAACAAGAGCTGGTAGTAAGCCAACACAAACCATTTGTTATCCTTCTGGGGAGGGGGATACTCAGGATAGACAGAGCGAATGAGAGACTGTTTAGAGAAAGGCAAATATACATGCACGCCAATACGGGTGTACATTATCTGTATTTAAATAAGCAAAGAGTGAAAAAACAGAGAGAAGGAAGATATATGTTACATGCAGTAATATATCTAGTGGCAGCGCCAATGGAGGACGGATATAAAGAAAGGAGAAGGTAGTAGCGACATGATTATTTCGGTCATCACTGGACTAGTGTGAGCCCTGCTATCAGGTTTAAGCAAACTGTCTTCCCAGGGACTAGAGTGAAGACATCCGGTTTAGCAAACTGTCTTCCCAGGGACTAGAGTGAAGACATCCGGTTTAGCAAACTGTCTTCCCCGGGACTAAAGTAAAGACTTCCGGTCTAGCAATCTGTCTTCCCTGGGACTAGAAAGATTGTCCGCTTTAGCAATCTGTTTCCCCTCGGATTATAGTAAGAGCCGGATTCTGGCAGCGATCTGTCTTTTATGGACTGGGATGAGGATTGCTTACGTCTGGTTTAACAAATCGTTTCCGCATAAAAGTGAGGACTGTTTATGTCCGATTTAAAGAACTATTTTCCATGGGCTCCAGTGAAGACTTTGTATGTCCGCTGTAGCAAAATTTTATCATGTCACAAAAGAAATTCACGAACGCCAAGATTGTAATATTTGGAGCTTCTGGCGTTGGCAAAACAGGTAAGACTTTTTTTATCTTTATCCTTGATAGAAAGACAATCAGAAAGAGTTGAGGGAAGACGTCGGGGAATAGGGTTGTCTCTTAATTATATCAAAGCTTGGTGTTAAGTGACTAACATTTCCAAAACTGACCGCACGATGTCTAGCTCCACACCATAACATTTAACCTTACAACTACACAGTGTTGTCTTGATAATATCTTATTTTGTATTATCTTTTTCATGAGTAAATCATGTAATTAATATCTTACCTGTTCGAGACAATGATGTCCTGTGTTTTTTTGGGTAAAAAGATGAAAAGTTCAAAAAATGAATGATATCTAGGTATTGTTTCCGACTGTCACTTGACCAGCTGGAAACCCAGGTAAACACTATCTCGTTCCTGCGAAAGACTGCCGATTTTTTTTTTCAATTATAAAACGTGTAAGTAAATATGCATATTAAAATTCAAACGCATATTTTACAGATAGTATCCCTATGGGGTATTGTGTAACAAACCTCAAAAATGATTAATGAATTTATAAATCTCATGTAAATGGATGTTCACACCAGATACTCTATAATAGAGAATTATTAGCTGAATGTCTAACACTATTTTTACGCAATAATGAAAAATTCGTTACAAACATAATATCGTTATATCAAGCTTCGTTATAATCACGTTTTACTGTATGCGGTATATTACAAATAAACCTCTTAGTGATAGTAATGTTTGTAGATACCAGTAGTAAGTACTTTAAAAATGCCATTTATAATTCATGAACTCGACAGAATACCAGTGTGAATAAAATAAATCGTATTCACTCTAGTGTAACATATAAATAATAACAGAGGACCCTTAAATACATGTAGTAAAATGATAAGAATATATCATCATAACTCTATAACGAATGAAAAAGTATGGGTGTTGTTTTAGTATTTATTTATAAAATGTGATATCATTAATTCGACTTATTGATATAATAAAATTAATTATCGATATCACAAATTCGAATTAATAGTATCACTAAATATCCAGAATTATTGATATCATTTATTCGAAATATTGATTTTAATTATTCGAATAAGTGATATCACGGAATACTCAGAGTTACTCTTATCACTAAATGTCCAGAATTATTGATATCATTATTCGATATATTGATATCAATAATTCGATTTAGGATATTACTGAATGAATATGATATCAATATTACTTAATGCTATCTTTACTTCGAATTATTGATATCACAATTTTAAGATAAAAACATGTACTAAAACGTCGCCCTGTACCCTATACCATATAGATTTGATGTTACCGTTACATGGAAAGTAAAATACCGAAACAAAGTCTACACTGGCTGCCACTGGCTACAACTTATTATTGTACAGCTTGGCGACATTTTTCTACAAATTACATTTGGCTGGTGATAACATCACTTAACGGTGACGTACATTAATTCGCGACGTCTATTGGCTGGTGGTAACATCACTTAACGGTGACGTACATTAAGTCGAGACGTCTATTGGCTGGTGACGTCATTTTATTGGCCCGTTTGTCTTTGGTACAAACATGAGACGACGTATTACGGATAGAGAATTTGACATGTACGTGTATCATTCTGATATTTGCTGACGAACTGATTAGAACGGGAAGTGGGTACGGGGAATTGAAGGATGACGCTAAGATCAAATTGTCAACATAACAGTTTGTTTAGCAAGTATATCCTTTATATATCGGGTAAACAGTGAGAGGTTAGTGTTACCCACATATCCTATACTTCGTATATCTGACGTTTCATCATCTCCCGTGATGCTGTTACGTACACAAGCTACAAATAGTGTTTTTTATACGTATCAATTACAGAATTACACTGTGCAGATATACAACACCAGCATCTTTATCAGTAGATCATCGATTGTGTTATCTGCAATTATTACATGTTAAGATATATATTTTATCTGTCACATTTAATAACAATTCGCTCTGTAGTTATCAATGTTTCTGTTTGGTCGATATGTTATTTCTTCCTCATGTGAAACTCAACCTCATATTAGGCGCGTGCAGGTCATATCTTCGCTAGGCGTCCAACGTGTGTTTGCTATATAAATGAGTCCGTCTCTCTTTCGTGATCCTCGCGTGAAATTACAATAACCTTGTATTCAGTCTGTTTTATATAATGTATTCATGCGAATACCGTTACCCGAAATAGAGCGCTTGTCGCCTACATCTTTGTTACATGCGCGTGCATAACATTCACACGTCCTGATTGGAATCATCTCTACGAATACTTAGTATGTACAGTAATTAAGTTTATTGTGGAGTTTGTCAGGCGTTCATTTTAGAATCCAAATCACTTTCTAACCAGATATTATATGTATACTTCTCTGGTCTATTGAAATTAATCCAGTATTTACAACTTATGTTCTACACATTTACAGGATATCTGAATAAAACGTAATGGATTTCTATCAAAAATCATAGATAAGATGGTGTTGGTAACTGTGTGTTAGAGGTTGGGGATGTTGGTTATCACATGTGAGAGGTAGGAGATGTTGGTAATGGTGTGTCAGAGGTAGGGGATGTTGGTTGTGGTGTGTTAGAGGTGAGGGACGTTGGTAATGGTATGTTAGAGGTGAGGGATGTTGTTAATGGTGTGTCAGAGGTGAGTGATGTTGGTAATGGTATGTTAGAGGCGAGTGATGTTGGTAATGGTGTGTTAGAGGTGAGGGATGTTGGTAATGGTATGTTAAAGGTGAGGGATGTTGGTAATGGTGTGTTAGAGGTGAGGGATGTTGGTAATGGTATGTTAGAGGTGAGGGATGTTGGTAATGGTGTGTTAGAGGTGAGGGACGTTGGTAATGGTATGTTAGAGGTGAGGGGTGTTGGTAATGGTGTGTTAAAGGTGAGGGATGTCGGTAATGGTGTGTTAGAGGTGAGGGATGTTGGTAATGGTATGTTAAAGGTGAGGGATGTTGGTAATGGTGTGTTAGAGGTGAGGGATGTTGGTAATGGTGTGTTAGAGGTGAGTGATGTTGGTAATGGTATGTTAGAGGTGAGGGATGTTGGTAATGGTGTGTTAGAGGTGAGGGATGTTGGTAATGGTATGTTAGAGGTGAGGGATGTTGGTAATGGTGTGTTAGAGGTGAGGGATGTTGGTAATGGTATGTTAGAGGTGAGGGATGTTGGTAATGGTGTGTTAAAGGTGAGGGATGTCGGTAATGGTGTGTTAGAGATGTTGGTAATGGTGTGTTAAAGGTGAGGGATGTCGGTAATGGTGTGTTAGAGGTGAGGGATGTTGGTAATGGTATGTTAGAGGTGAGTGATGTTGGTAATGGTGTGTTAGAGGTGAGTGATGTTGGTAATGGTATGTTAGAGGTGGAGATGTTGGTAATGGTATATTAGAGGTGAGGGATGTCGGTAATGGTATGTTAGAGGTGAGGGATGTTGGTAATGGTGTGTTAGAGGTGAGTGATGTTGGTAATGGTGTGTTAGAGGTGAGTGATGTTGGTAATGGTATGTTAGAGGTGAGGGATGTTGATGTTGGTTTATTAGATATGGGGGATGTTGTTTATAGTATATAAATGTATAAAATGTGGGGATTTCTGTTCTGGTTAGGGCGTTATAAAAGATAAACAGATGAAGTCGACTCTTTGTTACTCTTTATAGCTTAGCAATTAGCATTAAATCTGCTTACATAAAGACATATATAACCAGGTAATGAGGTATTATAAAGGAGAAGCGTTATGTACTTTCACGTTGGCGATGTAGCTGTTAGATTGACCCTTTAGCTTTATCAAACCTTAGATGTAGATGTGAAACCAATATATTACCGTGTTCACAAGTCATGGTGAGGCCTAATTGTTATGAGCTATAGAACACCTTGTGGCATAAACTTTCCTCGTGCTTCGAGGTAAGTCAGAACAGAATGCCTAATTTTGATTAAGATGAAACACAATGGTATTTCCGCTCCCATGTATAATTTACTACATCCCGGATCCAGGATATTTTCAGATCAAATGTTTTTTTCATCTTGTTGTATCAATCATCAGCAAACCACATTTGATAAGAAATTCGAGGTATTCTAGAAATCCCATTTATCGATATATCGTCATAAAACTGTCTCGTGGTAGGTAGATTTACTTAAATCTGCAACCAATAACACGTTGTACATATAAAATATAAATACTTCATAGATTTACTGTCAGTCACAGCTACATAGATGTACTGTCACAGTCACCGCTACATAGATATACTGTCACAATCACCGCTACATAGATTTACTGTCACAGTCACCGCTACATAGATCTACTGTCACAGTCACCGCTACATAGATTTACTGTCACAGTCACAGCTACATAGATTTACTGTCACAGCCAACGCTACATAAATTTACTGTCACAGTCACAACTACATAGATTCACTGTCACAGTCACCGCTACATAGATTTACTGTCACAGTCACCGCTACATAGATTTACTGTCACAGTCTCCGCTACATAGATTTACTGTCACAGTCACCGCTACATAGATTTACTGTCACAGTCACAGCTACATTGATTTACTGTCACAGTCACCGCTACATAGATTTACTGTCACAGTCACCGGTACATAGATTTACTGTCACAGTCACCGCTACATAGATTTACAGTAACAGCTACATAGATTTACTGTCACAGTCACAGCTTCATAGATTTACTTTCACAGTCACCACTACATAAATCTACTGTCGAAATCACCAATATATTCGTTTGAAGGTATATATCAACATATCAAAATTGAATATTTGATATTGATGTCGTTGACTTAGTGGAAGCGTATATCTATCTGAAGCTCTGCTTGGTTCAAACTTTTTTACACTGCCTGTGATTTTTACGTTGATATCTAAAACTAAACACAACTTCTTAAATTGTAAAATATTTTGTATCTGATATAAGTAGTCGTATAAAAAGTAAAAGAAATATTCGGGCACCTTACCTAATCCCCCAATAACTGTTAGCAATCTGTCATCCGTGACAAAAA